TTCTGTTTTACGCGCCTTGCCGCTTTTTGATCTTAGAGTAAAATTGAGCACACCCTGAACATATCATTACATAAGCTGATTAAGAAAACGGATGTGACATCCGTTAGCTATATCACGTGCAGCCATTCCCATTTAGATCGCCGATCAAAAAAAAGACTGGCTCAGTCAAAGTGACCTAGCTGTCTCGATTCTATTCGCCTGAAAACACCACAGTAGAGCTATTTGATCGACTTACCATTTTTCCATTTCAGCCTATGCTCCTGAGAATAGCCCTCGGAATCCTTCAAATGACTAGATATTATCGGCCATGTCGCGATCATCAGAAGCCTCGCTTCTCATTCTTCAGTCTGTATCATTCCAATTTGACTTATAAGTATCCCCTTGCCCCCTGGCTCTAAATTATCGGACTATGCTTCTCGCTGTCATAGCGTTCAATGGCCTTCATTCGACAAACCAGGGAGAGCTCGTACGTTGAGGTGATGTCTGAAATTCTCCACTAGTTAAGCATCAGTACAATGCCAACGTTCAATTAAGCAACACGGGTTTCTTACACATTTAAGTTCGAAAATAGGCTAATGTTCCTTCAGCCCCAAACCCATTAATCATTCGCTTACTAAATCCGTGTTACTGCTATCCTGAGGGAAACTTCCGCCCGGTGGAGCCCCTCCGTTGTGAGCGGCTGAGCCGCAATACATCTAACCGGTTCGGTGGAGAGCAATATCCAGGGTCGCGGATGCCATGGCGTCATCGAAGCAAGCGTCAATACCTGCTTAGCACAGACAACGAAGATATATAAGAACTATTTGCTTTACTTACCTCCCCCATCTTCAACTTCTCAAACATCTCCCTACCACAATACTGCTCTCATCTATATCACCCTCAAATATCTATCTATCATTACACTCATAGCGAAACTATCAGTCTATCACCATGTCAGACTCTACCTTCCACACCACGACTCAGGACATCCGCAAGGCCGAGTCCAAGCTTGCCCAGTCGCACAATGGCAAGCCCCCAGCAAACTCCGACGTCTCTCAAACCAAGGTGAGTTACCTGTACTGAATTATCACCAAGCATTGAGCAGACCTCTGACATAATCTGTATAGTCCATCATCGACCAAAACACCAACAAGCCCGCGGAAATCGAGAAGACCAAGGCAAACCTGCCTCTACCCGACCAACCCCCAGTTGCCAGTGACTTCAACTCCCTTGATCAGCGTACCACTGATGTGGGCTCTGGGCGTTTCGAGTACCCTCCTGATAACAGTGGCTTGCGCGAGGGTGCAGCTGCCAGCAGCAGCGCCCGAATTGATGGCAAGGAGCTGCACAAGAGTACTGCCCCATGATTTTTAGGATTCGTTATGTATGATAGTCAAATTTTTATCAAGCATTATGACCAATAGTGTGAATATTATTATACTATGTGACGATAATCGCAGTAAAATCGGCCGTTTAATAGTTTACTTCTTGGAGAGAACCATAGTGTGAACCACTGAATAGTGCAAATTCAGAAGTGGCTATATTTTCGGCCGACAGTGTCTGAATGCGTCAACTAAACTAACAGTTCCCAATAATAACAGGTTACCAAGTCATTGTGTCCCACTTCCTTGGAACATCGCCACATCACTTTAAGTCTGGACATTCCAGCCTCCACAATTATAGCCTATTTATTGGAGCTTAGGACTCGACTGGTTTCCGAAAACAAGTTGTGATATAGTTTTTCCAAGTTGATATAGAATTGGGGTTATTTCGATGTCATCATCATAACGTCAACATGGGTACAAGAGCCAAGGAGCTTTGTATATCAAGCCGACAACGAACTAGGTAGAGCTGGAAAAAAAATTTCTCTGCCCAACTGAAGTAACACAATGGCCTCCAACACTCAAAAAACTTACAAACTCTCCACTGGTGCTCAGATCCCTGCTATTGGCCTGGGAACCTGGCAAGATGAGGCAGCCCAGGAGGCATCCGTCCTTGTAGCCCTCCAGACAGGATATCGTCATATCGATACGGCAAGATGGTAAGCTCGTCAACGGTTTAACACGCATAACTAGTCTGACCTCTACAGCTATGGCACTGAGGCTGTTGTCGGTAAAGCCATAAAGAAAAGCGGCATAAATAGAAGCGATATTTTTGTTACCAGCAAACTGTGGAACAACAAGCACCATCCTGATGATGTTGCTCAGGCATTGCAGGATAGCTTGGATGATCTGGGTTTGGAATACCTCGACCTATTTCTGATGCACTGGCCTTGTGCCTTCAAACGAGGAGATGATCCATTCCCCTCTGGCAAAGACGGGAAGCTCATAACTGCAGATATCGACTACGTTGATGTACGTGCTGTTCTAAACCAATGGCAAGGCTATCTGCTAACTACTCAAAGACCTACAAAGCAATGGAAGCTCTCGTCAAATCCGGCAAAGCCAAAGCTATCGGGGTTTGCAACTTTTCTCACAAGGAAATCGAGCGTCTTCTTGCGAATGCGACGATCAAACCAGCGGTGCACCAGATGGAGCTACATCCCTGGCTCCAGCAAAGTGATTTCTACGATTTCCACCGCACGCATGGCATTCATGTGACGCAGTATTCTCCATTCGGCGACCAGAATAAAATCTATGGTGCCCAAGAGAAATATGGTCAGCTTATTAATGATGAAACCTTGGTCGAGATCGGGAAGAAGTACGGAAAGACGTCGGCCCAAGTCGCCCTAGGTATTTTTGCCCTTGCTCGCCCGGATCAGAAATACAGAGCTAATAACTTTTCATAGTTTGGGGTATCGAACATGGCCGTTCCGTCATTCCGAAATCAAAGCATCCAGAACGGATCAGACAAAACTTTGATATCAATTTCGAATTGAAACCTGAAGATCTTAAAAAGATCAGCTCGATCGACAGGAAGCTCCGGTTCAATGACTCAAGCAAAGACTTTGGTTACGAACTCTTCACTGATCTTGACGGAAAGCAGAAGTGAAGCAAGTGTGATTTACAGATTACGGTCTTTGGAAACATTGGCTGAAGATTGCCTATGGAGGGATCGATTGCGAAGGTGTCGGTATTTCTGCCTGAAGATGCGTGAATATTTGCCGGCAGAAAATATGAATTACGTATAACAGAGCACTTAGTTACATTCTTTAATCTGTTCAAGGTCAACATGAATGACTTAGAAAATGGGTTCTAAATGTGAGGCTATTCGTACCTACATATACAAATCGGGATTGGGACATAATAGATGGTCAGTGGTATTAAAATCATCAAGGATGGATGGCAAAGGTCACGTAGCCAGTAAATTAAAAGGTGCAACAGTACAAGATAACATATATTGAAACCCGGAGCTTAATACTTTTAGGCCAGAAGCAATCGATTATTAGCTTGCTGGATTAGATTTAGCTAGATAGCAAATTGACCGTCATCCAATATCCTCATGATCCACACATTTATTCATGTTGAGCCAAACGTCCATTATGGGCGGGAATCGGCAATATTAACCCTTCTTGGGTGTGTTGTCCATTACATAGACCTCCGGAACAACCTGTTTCTTTTTGAAATCAAGCGCTTCAAAAAGGTCGCAGAGCTTCTCTGTGAGAGTTTCTGAGAAGTTCCTTAGTCAGAAAAGAACCATAGGTAACTAAAGTGGATTCGTGGAGATCTTACTTTGTCGTGTCGCCTTGTGTATTTTGATATAGTTCTCAGCTTCCTCGTTGTTCGCGTGTTGAGGTATATATGGATATCTGTAAGACGAGGCGCGTTAGTCGTAACTATCAAACCAGCGTTAGTGGAAATCATACTTGCGACGAATCCACACGGCACACAAGAAAATGAGAGCTATAGTTAGAGGAATGCCGAGGCCAAGAGATAGCCCAAGAGCAAGGCCCCGGTTTATAGCTGGTGGACTGTCGTGGAAACCATTTTCAACCCTTATAGAAAGGGCTTGGTACTTTGCATTCATCGTATTGACCTCTGCGGTGAGGGCATCATGAAACTTGCCAGGCAGAACCTCAAGCGCTCCTTCCCAATGACTGATTTTTGCAATATTCTCGTCGATCTTCGCAGAAAGAGCGGTAATATCCTCGCGCACGCGACTGTTCTCTTTGTTAAAATCATCAAACCTCCTAGAAAGAGATTGGAAATCTGCGCTCGATCCTTCAGTTTGTGAATTGTTGCCTTGGTTTGTCCTTGCATTGATAGTGTTGATTTCATTTTCCAATCTCTGGCACCATGACCACAGCGTGAGAATATTGTCGTCGGTCGTGTAAGAGGAGAACACCCCACCCATGTTGTAGTAGACGCGGGAATCAAAAATCGGCGCAGAAAGATGAATCTAGTAAAGAAGGAGGGGCAAGCACCTTGGTGAAATCATCCATAACCGTTTGATTGTCATAAGAGAAAACTTAGAAGAATATGACCCGGGACTCTTCATAACTCTATTTCCGTCCACGTATGAGCGGAAGATGTTTGAGATATTATATGTGCTGTGGTTGGGTCAAGCTTAGTACAATGAACACAACAACCACTGAGCAAGAAAGTATTAGCATAGATACCCAACATAGACAGAAAAATATCTTCCACACTGTGGACTTCTCGTGGATCGTAAGGATAGAATGTAGGATACTACCCGCGTAACGCTCATAATGAGGTAAGACATATTGGTAACCATCCATGATCTCCTGGACATTCCTTTGGCCAAGTACATCTTCTATCAATCCCTTCACAACGAAAATAAAATGGCTGCAGGTCGATCTTACCCTGCCGAGCATCATGTTAGGTACAGGGGTAGTTTCCCCGAAGCATGATCCTCAACCTACAAATTATCTATTCGAGTACTTACTATTCGAAATCGACGCCAATATCTTCAAACACGATGTCCTCTATCCTAGCGTTGACCTTCTTTCTTTTAACCTCGTTCGACACCAAAGAAAATCGTCTGTTGATCAGAATGCAACTCTAGAGCATAGCGCAGCGGGCGAGGGATTTGCTTCCAAATTGATGGAGAAATTGGCCATCATGGAACGAGAGACCGCTGTCCAAGGGTTCCCAGGAGTAACGATCACAGTCGGCAATAGAGGAAAACAACCTGACTATGGATGGGGGGGCCCACCCCACCCGCCTGACTATGGCCGTAAGCCGACGGTCGTTCTTGAAGTTGCGGTGTCGGAGTCCAAAGCCAAGCTAGAGCGCGACGTGGAGTTTTGGTTAGATCCGGTCAGAGGAAACGCTAACATAGTGTTAACGCTAGAAGCCGACAGAAAAAAGCCGGTCATTGACAAGACAGTCCGTTTTAGATTCTCCGTTAATCATTCCATTTGAGATCCTGATGCGACGACCAAGCTCCTCTCCGCTGAAAACCAATGTTAGCATCGGCATGCAAGACCTCAAGGGCATTGCAGAAGGGATCTTTGCCCAAGATTTCCGAAGGGGCGTATGTACGGTGTAGTCGCCTCCACCTATGCACATGTCTGAAACGCTTACTCAGCATCACCCACTCCCCGGGCCCGGACACAAGTGGCTCTTCCACATGTTGACTCCGACCACAATTGCATTTTGTTTTGCTTTGTGCCTCGAGAAAACCGACTCTGTGGCTGGTTTTTCTCGTTGGCCTACTTCTAATCCTGCAATATCCAGGCTTCCCCGCGCATCAATAACCCCCCCCCCCCCCCCCCCCCCCCCCAAAAAAACACCACGGACGCGCAACATCAACATTGGACCGATACATGACGTCTTTGTTGACACCTACGGTTGCAACCTCGCTACGAAGCACTCTCAAACGATCACGAACAGCCTAGCTACAGCCACCTCCGCGATAATTACCCTGGGACTGACCTTCAAGCTGCGCTCCTCGCGGAGTTCGCGCATCAGTGTACCCCTGTCACCACTTGAATCCCACTCTAGGACTTCGGCTTTTATAAACGTTCATTATTGACAAATACCTCCCGTGCATGGGTTAGAGAGCAAAGATGGCTCCAGGCGGCGGTGGAAATATTAAGGTGGTGGTGCGAGTGAGGCCGTTCAACAGTCGAGGTGAGTAGATATCGAGGGATGGATTCTTCTTTGAACCTCAAGCTAACCAGCCTGTCATTGTGCAGAGATCGAGCGAGGTGCAAAATGTATCGTGTCGATGAAAGGCAACCAGACCGTGCTCACTCCTCCACCCGGCGCAGAGGACAAATCACGGAAGGGTGGGAAAGGTGTTAGTGAAGGGAACAAGGTCTTTGCCTTTGACCGATCATATTGGTCCTTTGATAAGAAATCATCAAACTTTGCCGACCAGAATGACCTCTTCGACGATCTGGGTTCTCCGCTTCTGGATAATGCTTTTGGGGGTTACAACAATTGTATCTTCGCGTATGGCCAGACTGGTTCGGGAAAATCGTACTCCATGATGGGTTACGGCAAAGAATATGGTGTCATTCCACGGATTTGCCGATCGATGTTCGAGCGCATTACCGCTATCCAGGCGGACAAGTCTTTGAATTGCACTGTTGAAGTGTCATACCTCGAAATTTACAACGAGCGAGTACGCGACTTGCTCAACCCGTCGAACAAAGGCAACCTAAAAGTCCGTGAGCATCCGTCAACGGGTCCTTATGTTGAGGATCTGGCCAAACTCGTCGTTGGATGTTTCGAAGAAATCGAGAGCCTGATGGACGAGGGTAACAAAGCCCGAACGGTTGCCGCGACCAACATGAACGAAACCTCAAGTCGATCACATGCGGTTTTTACCTTGACTCTGACGCAAAAGAGACACGACAAAGAGACTTCAATGGATACCGAGAAGGTGTCGAAAATCAGCTTGGTTGATTTGGCTGGTTCAGAAAGAGCCAACTCGACTGGAGCCACCGGCGCGCGATTAAAGGAGGGTGCGGAGATCAATCGCTCATTGTCAACACTTGGTCGTGTCATTGCTGCACTCGCTGATGTCTCTGCTGGCAAGACTACTGCCGGCAAGAAGAAGAATGCATCCATGGTACCATATCGTGATTCAATTCTCACATGGTTGCTGAAGGATTCTCTGGGTGGAAATTCCATGACCTCCATGATTGCAGCAATTTCTCCTGCAGATATTAACTTTGACGAAACTCTTGGTACTCTGCGATACGCTGACTCGGCGAAACGAATCAAGAATCATGCTGTTGTGAACGAAGATCCTAATGCACGCATGATTCGCGAACTAAAGGAGGAATTAGCACAGCTCCGATCAAAACTTGGAGGGGGAGTAGCACCGGGAGGAGCAGCTGGCGCAATAGGAGGTGGTGTCCCTCAGGAGTACTACCCCCCAGATACCCCGTTAGAGAAACAGATGGTGTCCATCCAACAGCCGGATGGAACTGTCACTCAAGTCAGTAAGGCAGAGATTGTAGAACAACTCAATCAGAGTGAGAAGCTCTACAAAGATCTCAACCAGACTTGGGAAGAGAAGCTGCAAAATACGGAGCTTATCCACAAGGAGCGTGAAGCAGCTTTGGAGGAATTAGGAATCAACATCGAAAAGGGCTTCATTGGAATGAGCACACCAAAGAAAATGCCCCATTTGGTCAACCTCAGCGACGATCCCCTTCTTGCAGAATGTTTGGTCTACAACATCAAACCTGGCACTACCACGGTCGGCCATATGGATCAAGGTCAAACCGTCGAGATTAGATTGAATGGATCCAAGATCCTTGAGAAGCACTGCACTTTCGAGAATGTGGACAACGTTGTGACCATTATACCCGCCGAAGGCGCTGCTATCATGGTGAACGGCTTGCGGGTTGACAAGCCCACACGACTGAAGAGTGGTTTCCGAATTATCCTTGGCGATTTTCATATTTTCCGTTTCAACCATCCTCAAGAGGCCAGAGCCGAACGGGTCGAGCAGAGCTTACTCCGCCATTCAGTCACAACAAGCCAGCTCGGGTCGCCGGCCCCAAACAAAACCCATGATCGAAATCTTAGCAAGGCAGGATCTGACTTGGATGGCGATTCATCCAGGGCGGATTCACCCATGCCCCAACAGCGTAGTCGTGAGTCAGACTGGTTCTTAGCACGCAGAGAAGCTATCAGTGCTATGGTTGGACCTGATCAGATCTCTAATTTGCCTGATGATGAACTGGATACACTGTTGGAAGATGTGCAGAAGGTTCGAGCTGAACGACGTGGACTGCCGGAAGAAGACGATTCCGACTCCATCAGCTCCTTCCCAACTAGGGACAAGTATATGTCCAACGGGACCCTCGACAACTTTTCCTTAGATACTGCTATAACTATGCCAAGCACGCCCCGACAGAATGACGACGATGAAGTCAATGGCGTTGCATCATTCAACCAAACTCGGCAAGATATGCAGCGGCAGTTGGATCGTCGCAAGGAAGAGTTCCAAGAAAGACTCAAGACCGTGGGAGCTTCGTCTGATCCAGAGTCGCCGGAGCTACGCACCGAGAAGGAGCGAATGGAGGACGCTCTACGAACGGTTAAAGAGGAATTCGAAGAGCAACTGCGCAAACAAAAGGAGTCTTTTGAAACCCACATCCGAGATATGGGTAAGCCGGTTCCTCAAATCTTCGAAAATGGCTTCGCCAAGTTAGATGAACGTGAACTTGAAATCGCGCGCTCAGTATACAGCCACTGGTCCCAGCGAAATTATGTCCGAATGGCCGAGAAGATTTTACAACATGCCTGCCTTCTGAAGGAGGCACAGATCATGAGTCATATCATGGACAAGCATGTGGTCTTCCAGTTCGCCATTGTCGACCATGGCCACAACATGGAATCATCTTATGATCTCGTGCTCAACGGAATCTCCGGCGATGAAGACATCCTACTTGAAGAGGCCAAGAAGCCCTGTGTGGGTGTTCGAGTCATCGACTTCAAGCAGTGCGTAATTCATTTGTGGTCAATTGAAAAACTCCAACGCCGCGTCCAAGCCATGCGGCAATTGCACCAATACATCGACCGCCCTGACTACATCCAACACTTCAAACTCGACAATCCATTCTCTGAACCTTGCTCACCCCAGTATTCTCTTATCGGTGATGCCGACATCCCCTTAACTGCTGTTTTCGAAACTCGCGTGCAAGACTTCTCCGTTGAGATAACCTCACCATATACTCAGAGTGTCGTCGGAATCATTCGTCTCTCTCTCGAACCATCCTCCGCGCAGGCGCCCTCTTCAACCCTGAAATTTAACGTTGTCATGCGGGACATGGTCGGGTTCGCAGAGTGGGAAGGGACTGATGTACATGCGCAGTTATTTGTTCCGGGTATCTCAGAGGAAGGAGGCGCAACTACAACTCAAATGATCAAAGGATTTGAGGACGGTCCCGTTCGATTTGAAAGTGTGCACAGTATGAGCTTGCCACTGTCAAGTCCACGGACAGCCGCATTGAAGGTCTGCGTTTATGCAGCTGTGACATCGGTTCATCTCGACAAGCTTCTTAGTTGGGATGATATGCGTGACTCAGTGGAGCCTTCACCGCAGAAGCGGACTGCTGCTCGGATCGCGGAATCGGAATTTTACTCAGAAGAACGTCATGACGTCTTTGCGAGAATTCAGATTCTCGAAATGTCAGAATCTGGCGAGTACCTCCCCGTGGAGGTTGTCCAAAGCAGCAGTATTGATGCCGGGACATCCCAGCTTCATCAAGGATTGCAGCGCCGCATCTCAGTCAACATCACGTATAGTTCAACGGAAACTCTTCCATGGGATGATATCAACAACATCCGCGTTGGTTCTGTCCACCTCCTGGATCCTTGGGGCAAGATCCCAGATCAGGATTTCCAGACTCCAGACGTCCCCTTGAAGTTTGTCCAAGAACCAACGGTCAAGGAAAATGCCGACGGAACCTCTCATGTCACAATTGTCGGCCAGTGGGACTCGAGTTTACATGGCTCTCTGTTGCTTGACCGAGTGACGGCAGAAAAGTACAGGGTCCAAGTAACTGTCCGTTGGGATCTTGTATCCAGTCGTTTACAGAACCCAGTTGTGTTCGAGGCAGAGCAAACCATTCAAATCCAAGGCCGTACCCATGTCCGCCAACAGTCGATGTTCAAGCAATTCTGGAACTCAATTCGTGTTGTGCACTCGACGACTTGCATGTACTCGTTGGTTATTCGGCCCATTTCAGCTAAGCGTGCTGCTGATCTGTGGCGTATGAACACACAAAATGACTATGTGAAAGGCGAGGAACTCTTGAACACCTGGGCGCCTAGAAAAGTTTCTCTGGTACGAGACTACATTGCCAACCGCAAACGCCGGCAGCGGCTGGCAGAGCTTCACGCAGCCCGAGGTGCTCTGAGCGCGGGCTGTCTCATTCCATCGCTGGCTCGTGGTGGGAGGTCAACTCCGATGCGGGGTGCAGATCTCAATGAGCGAAAATCCAAAATTCTACGGAAGTATCTTGATCTGTGGTCGCTCAAGCAGGACCCAACAGAGGCAATCCTCATCCGGAGTAATACCGAACCCCCTTCGGACGGAGCGGCACACATTACAAATTCGGATGCCAGCGGCCTTTATGATAAACTTTCTCTCAAACCTCGGTTCACAGCCACCATCCAAACCCTTCCCAAAGCCCCCGACGCCTTAAAAACGGGGTACGTGCTTACGCCCGATGATACCAACAACGTTTGGGTGCGTCGTTTCTTGGAGCTCCGCCGGCCGTACCTCCACATCTACTCGGTCCCAGAGGGAGACGAGATCAACGCCATCAACCTCCGCAATGCGCGTGTCGACCATGCGCCCGACTTCGCAAGACTACTCGACGGTTCAGGAGCTGGATCCGACCGTTCGCTGTCTGCCAAGGGACGACCGAATGTGTTCGCAGTCTATGGAACCCAGAACACGTTCCTCTTCGCCACTAGAACCGAGGCACAAAAGGTAGAATGGATCTTGAAGATAGACGAGAGCTACTTCAACAGCAACAGCCCCAGACCCCCCGCCAATGGCGATCATTAAAATTTTATTGCGGTTGCCAACTGTCGTGCGCGGACATGTCCGTGGACAAGCTTCAGCTTTGCTTCCCCTGCTTCGTGTTTCATTATTACGGGTCTAAGTCTACCTTTACCTTTACCTTCTACTTTATTCTTTCGTTTGCCCATTTCCTTTCATGACCTGTTGAGATACCCCTTGCATATATCGACTCGCTATGGCACTCTTCCTCTTATGTACATAATAATCCTATCTGGATCATATATTCGATTGTGCACAGTTTGTTTCGTTTTGGAAAAGATCTTTTATGCAGTTTGGCCTGCATTTCTATTTGGTAGACAAGAACGATATAAATATATTTTGCGATAGAGATAGGGCCTACTGGTCTGCCTGTGCTCATTACCTACTAAATCTAATCAGAATATGTCTATGAACCCTCAGCATGTAGCCCACACAGGACACACAGGACCGTTGCCATGGAAACAATCAGAGCACAAATGACATCAACCCACAAAATAACTACCAAGTCTTCATCTCTTCTAGGCTGAGAACTCATATGGAAATTGAAATTGAGGCTTAAACATTTGAATGGGCAAAAGTGGAATTGTTCGAGAAAAAATGTTCTCCCAACGCCCTTCATTCCGCTACCTGGCTATCGGCGCAGTGGTGTCTCTGTTTGTCCTTGCATTCCTTGTCCTCGGCACAGGTGCACCCTCGCTCTCATCACAATTTAATCTAAAGACACAATCACGACAGCAATACTGTGCACCTACCGTGAACTCTTCCGCTGGCTGGGAGTTTGTTGTTGAGCGCGATGGAAACAACCACGGTCTCTCTGAGGACCAGTGCCGCATTGCTTTCCCAAAGCTATTTGTTGAGATTGACAAGTCATCTAAACCGAGAGAAGATAAGCTTGTTTCCTATAAGGAGCTCAATTTCAGGACAGTGGACGATGGCATGGTGCGGGGAATTATTGACCGAGGAGAGGTGAGTGAAATATTCGCCCTTGTGGACTTGAGAGCATCTGATTCTAATATATGCTATTCAGTTATATATTGTCGACTACGCCCCCATGCCCGTTACAGCATCTCGAGCACGCGCCACATTAAACTCCCTCCACCGCGCCCTGACAGCATTCCCAGACCGCCACCTCCTACCCAGCGTCGAGTTCATCTTCACCACAGAAGACTTCGCAGAAGACACAACCGCCGCCAGCCCCATCTGGGCCTACTCAAAACGTGACTCAGACACCTCAGTCTGGCTAATGCCCGACTTCGGTTACTGGGCCTGGCCAGAGGTGCAGATCGGGCCGTACCATGAAGTGCGCCGTCGCATTGCCGCAATCGACGACGGCCAGACTGCCGCAGATGGCACATACATTCCGGGCCTGCAGTTCCAGGAGAAGAAAAAGCAGCTCGTATGGCGCGGCAGTCTGGCGACGAACCCGCCCGTCCGGAGCAAACTCCTCAAGTCTGCGCTGGGTCGTAGCTGGGCTAGTGTGCGTGTCATTGACTGGGATGACCAAAATGATATCCGCTTCAATCTTCTCCCCATTGAAGACCACTGCCGGTACATGTTCCTCGCGCATACAGAGGGCCGGAGCTTCTCTGGCCGTGGGAAGTATCTTCTGAACTGCCGTTCTGTGGTCATCTCGCATGCGCTTGAATGGCGCGAGGCTCATCATGCGGCGCTGGTGTCAACTGGCCCGGATGCAAATTATATTGAGGTTGACCGGGATTGGTCTGATCTATCGCCCAAGATCGATTATCTCATTGATAACCCTGCGATTGCGGAGCGTATCGCTAATAATGCGGTGCGCACTTTCCGTGATCGGTACCTTACTCCTGCTGCTGAGTCGTGCTACTGGCGTCAGTTGATCCGGCAGTACTCTGCAGCTTGTGATTTCGAGCCGGTCTTGTTTTCGACTGGCCGGGATGGGAAGACTCAGCCCCGGGGTGTTCCGTATGACACTTGGCTTCTTATGCATTGATGATCTTTGATCGGTTGCTATGATTGCGTTTTTATTGCATATTGGTGTTTTTCTTTTTGCGATATTCCCGGTTGGCGTTGACCCTGATACAGAGTTGCAATTTGTACATGAGATATATTGATTGTTTATGACTCACTATAATGCAAACTAGAATTCACTTTTTATTCTACAAAAATACGAACTTCCTGGTTTATATTCGGGGCAGCCTAGGCCGAGTAAGCATACGAATTCTGCTTTGCCAAGCCTTGGTGCCAAGACCTACATGACCGGTACATTCTTCGAATATTCTTGGCACGTGTTCCTGCTTACCTACGCACTCGCCAAGACCTCGGGATTCGAATTAAACATCCGCTGATCCATGGATCAGTCACCTTGTCACGTTTTCGCTGACTTTATGTCGACTTCTCTGATGACGGTAGATGATCATGTATCTTTTTTTTTGCCGGATTTCATATTGCCTGATATTAAGTTTAGCCTGGGCTAACCGAAGCTGCAACTATTACAGCCATAATGAATTTCCCCGCATTTACACCTGTGCCTGTGGCTGACATCTTCAACATTCTTGTTTTCATTCGGCGACGAACTTTAGCCGCCTAAAGGGTCCGGCTGTAAGCCCCTTGGCTTGGATCACTGATGAATCAAATTTTAGGCTGGTTGAATGATACAGGGATCTAATTGAGGGTGTGATGGATCACCGCTAAGACTTGGTAGGAAAGGAATCATGGTCCGTGGATGATTAGTGCAATTGTGACAGTTGAAGTACGGGATAAATGGCTCGCTGGCTAAATTGGATTAAGCCATTTAGGATATGAAACTGTTTGGAAACACGCCCCACATCCTCCTGTGAATATAAAAGGTCTTCTCCTGAAGGGATTCTCTGCCATAAAATAACACATCTCAATTCATTCGTCTTCTTCAATTATCACCGATATCCGAGCCTTCATCATGGTCTCTTTCTCAAACCTCTTTGTGGCTGCTTGTGCTGCTGTTACTGCCTTTGCGCTTCCTAATGAGCTGGAAAAGCGAGCGATCACCACGAGCGAGCAAGGAACTAGCAATGGTTACTTCTACTCTTTCTGGACCAATGGAGGTGGCAGTGTCTCCTATACCAACGGTGCTTCGGGCCAATACAGCGTTAGCTGGACCAACTGCGGATCTTTCACCTCTGGCAAAGGCTGGGCTACTGGCAGCTCTCGGTAAGTCGAGTCCACCTAGTTATCTATTGTCAATATACTTACAAGTACACCATGTTAGAAACATCAACTTTTCCGGTTCTTTCAATCCCTCCGGAAATGCTTATCTCGCTGTATACGGGTGGACCACTAGCCCCCTCGTCGAATATTACATCCTGGAGAGCTATGGCACCTACAACCCAGCTAGCAGCATGACCTACAAGGGAACCGTGACCAGCGATGGATCAGTCTACGATATATATACCCACCAGCAGGTGAATCAGCCTTCCATCTCGGGGACTGCGACGTTCAACCAGTATTGGTCCATCCGCCGGACTAAGCGCACCAGCGGAACAGTCACTACTGCAAATCACTTCAATGCTTGGGCTTCTCTTGGATTGAGTCTCGGCTCGCACAACTACCAGATTGTCAGCACCGAGGGATACCAGAGCAGTGGATCGTCATCCATCACCGTTTCATAAGCATGTGAAAGCCCTGCAGTGGCTTCGTGCGAAATGTTCACTTGCTTTTGGCAAATTTTTATTGGAAGGGCTATTTTATGGACCTGTTAAGTCTCCTTGTAGTAAGGAGGTGGAACGATACTTTGCTTAGGGGAACACGGGCATTTTATTGTCTTTAGGCTTATACTTGTCTTTAGATAGGCACTCTTGGTTAATATGACGGTGCTTTTAGCATAGCTAACAAGGCCCACAAGTCAGCCACTTTGACTACTTCAACTTCTCTTCACTTTCTCTTTCTTCTTCCTTCTGTGATATTCGTAGGAAAGCATGGCATTGGTATTGCCTTTACGTTCTTCCTTCCATCCTTGCCTACATATGTCTGTTATTAGCACAGCACACAATCTAAGAGAAGGAAAAAGAGGAACATACCTGTAGAGGAGGTAGACAACAAGCATAACAAGGACAGCGGTGATACAATCTGGAATATTGGCTGCTACCGCTGTCTTCCAGTCAGACGGGGGGTAGTTGTTTTTTGTCTTCGCAAGGAATCATTGTATTTCTTCTCTTCCGAATATCCTGTGATTGGCTTTGTCGGCCTCGCTCAAGGAGCTCACTGTTTCTCTCTTCCGTTTCTTGGGCCCCTCCGGTGTTCCCGTAGACACTGTCCTCTGCGCGATCGAAGATAGGATAGGCTTGTCACGCTGGATTCCTAGTATTCAATCGATGTCCAAAATGGTATCATCTCCCAGGTATTTGTCTGCGGTGTAGTCATAGGACTGTTTCTTCCTGATAGGTTCGAGGTAGAAGGTAGAATTATGCTTTAACCCGTGTTCCCACTGAGAGATTGTGTATTTGTGTACCGTGGACCATCAGTATTTGGCACCATCGGGTTGACAGGCTGAGATCGCCCGGCCAACTCGAGGTTTTCTCGAAAGGTAGAGTGAGTACAAGCCCCGGGGTAGGCGAAAACCTCGGCGGGGACCCCACAAGTCCCCAAGCTTCTCACCTTCCTATATGTTGAGGCTTACTGTGCGTAAGTAGACGAGAAGAGGGATATTTGAGATGTAGTCTAACGAGGGGTGGGTGCTTGAGGCACCTAGGTGGCGTCCTGGGGCCACAAAATCCAACTGACGGGTGCCCAATCAAAGGGATAGAGAGAGAAAGAGAGAAGAATTTGATTTTCTGCAAACAAACAAAGAGCTACTTATGTAGCTGGATGAAGCCTATCAAACAGGACAAACATGGCAGGCCATTCAACAGACACTAAGCTCTCTCTCCTTTCTCTCTTCCTTCTCCTCCCTGGCCACTCTCACTCTGACGAGTTTAAGCACCTTTTTTCTCTATATACATATGATCACCATCATACTTAGACTCCAAGACCTGCGCGATATACTCAAGCCAAGTTCGACCTTGCTTGCCTCACTTTGCCTCTACTTCTCAGCCTCCTTTATTTCTTCTTCACAGCATTCGATATCCATTGCACATCGTGCTTCTCTAATAAGCACATTCAGCTGGCGACGAGACAGGCGTTCAGGGAAGGTTTCAACATAACATAGGCCAGACAACAAGTGCCGTGTTCGGTTCGCAAGGCTATAACATTGCATTTATAGACTATAAATGCTCTGGACACGTACCCCTGACGCTATAATTATGGATAAGCAGGCAGCTATCAATTTTGTTAGTGAGCTTAAGGCTCCTGGACTCTGATGCATGACTTGACGGAGTTGACAATGCCCGAAAGACCGGAGTTCAGAATCGCAATTGGACGATTCGCATGTTATATGAAAGATCTCAATGTCAAGTATGGGTTCTTTTCCACGTATGAAAAAGCCGTCTTTCGCATCCTCTTTCACCGGCAATTAAGCAAAAATTCCAGGGTGCCAAACCGCCTATCGCACCTCCCCGCGTTGAGGTTCAGATCTTGATATGCCCCGATTCCCACATATATCACCGAAATTATTCCCATTCTAGGACCATACCATCCGGCGTCGATTACAGCGCAGTTTAATGATGGACTACACGATTGCCTGGAGGCAGAAAGGCAATGATCCACGATGCCTAGTCTTGGATTCGACGGGGGCATGGTGCCGAAGCGATCCAAGTTCTGCTTTCTGTGATGACGGAACTGATCATTTGCCCGTTGGACCCAGCACTGAGAACTACGTTCAGGCTACATCCTCATGCGCAATGGAGGCGGAGGGTATCAAGCGGCTCGCGACAAGCTTCGACTCACCAATGAATGTGAGGATTGTGACGATGTAGAGGATATTAATGACCTTGGCACCGGAAATATTTGTTGGTTCGGAATATTCAAGAAGGGGGACGGGTTCATCCATGAATAGACCGGAGACATGGGCGAAAGGCTGTGTCACAGTAAGCCCACCCAAAGCGTCGAAAGGCTGGCTCAGCTGAGAAGGTCTCGGTGGTGGTTGTGATCTGGGTATCTCTCAACACAATGGGTATGAGAGTACCTAAGAGCGAAGTTGTATTCGAATCTTTGCTTGTTCCCAAGTGGTCCATCATTGGTTTTTCTCTGGTGCTTGCGGATTGTTATGTTGAATGTAACCACCTTGGAACCAACCTTTATAATTCAGTCTTTCATGTATTCAATCCAAATTGACTCGTACTCGTACAAGTAGCCTCGGTTGTCTCTTTCTAGTTGGTTCTAGTGCTTGGTGCTTATATTTGAATGTGGTAAGCCCACTGGAGAGTTCCCTTAAATGGGCTGTCCTCGGCGTTTAACGCAATCTCTGTCAAAAGCTTTCCGTAGGCCCAGGTATCATTTAATTGCTGTATATTTCCCACATTATTTCCTCCCTTGATATCTACCATTCCGTAGGTCGGGGATAAACTCCCCGGGATTCGGGTAGCCCCACCGATGCGCAGAGTTAGCAACGCAGACACCTTCAACCTTAATCACCCCGTGGTGTTTTCAGCTCTAGCGCCCTATTACTCCCAGTGAATGACCCTCACCCTGTTTTGCAGGCAGGGCTGTCGGTACCCCTGCTCCCAGTCGTAGGGGCCCCTCTTCAATAGGTAGGGTGCAGATTCCCCTGAAATTGTACCGAAACACTGAGGCGGCTAGCCGTGGCTTCATAAAATGTAAGTCCATTCGAAAATCCCATATAGGGAGATAAAAAACAACGAATAATTCGCACATTGATTCAATGGAGGCTAGTGTTGATTGAGTGACTAAAGTCTACTGAGAATGAGCTGTGGGTACTCCGTATAGCGTTTGCCCGAATATTGTTTGCGGTTGGGTTTGCAATATATGCATATGTTCCAACAACAGATAACCGTTTCCTCCTCAGCTGGATAGTACCTTACTCCCTACATGTTTAATCCTCATCCCTCTCAACAGCTCAATAGAATCCATGCTTTTCTTTCCCTAACACCGTTTCACCCCCTCCCCAACCTTCTCTGCGTCATCCACGCCTGTCCCCAACAATGTCCAATATTGAAAACCTACCGACTGAGCTGATTCTCCTCGTCGTCTCGTTTTTGCCATCCGAATCATCTCTCGCAGCCTTGGCGCTGTCAAGCCGCCGTCTGTATGGTATCTTCAACCGCTGTCTTTACCACTACAATGTCCTCCACAGCAACAGCTCCGCTTTAGACTGGGCGGCGCAAAACGGGCGGATGGGTACACTAAAGAAGGCGCTAGAGGCTGGTGCCCCTCTACCCAAGAAACAGGGGAAGGGCAAAATGAGACAGCAGGGACCGATGATCTCCGAATTCGGGAGCGTAGCCCCGCGTCGCTTCATGGACTTTCGGCCGCATCCAATCTCATTGGCGGCAAGCGGCGGTCATACGGATATCGTTCGATACATGATCGACCGCGGTGTGAGCCCTGACACGATGGACCCAGAGAGGCGGACGCTGTTGGCGCTGGCTGCTATCCATGGCCATGCTTCTCTAGCTAGATATTTGCTACAAGTGGGTGCCGATCAGGATATCAAGAGCTTTCGAAGCGACTGGCCTGTGTGGTTAGCGGCATTTCAAGGGCATGTGGATGTGGTTGAGGTGCTTGTCTCTGCCCCGAAGCAACGATCCGACAAGGAAAACCTTCTGATCGATGCATTGGTCGCTGCGGTTCTTGCCTGGCGAGTTCCGGTGGTCCGGCTATTATTCATACATGGAGTGCAAGTCAACTTTTTGAGTGCAAATGGAAATACACCCCTCATGACAGCTGCGGTTCGGGAGATGAGCGATTTGGTCTCGATGCTTCTTGCGTATGGCGCAGATCCAAATCTGACAGCGGATAAACGACAGTCTGCACCCTTGGGAATTGCAGCGCTCCACGGCTATGAGGAAATAGTCCGGATCTTGGTCGATCAAACGGCAGATATCCAACGCACCAAAGCATTGGGATTCGCAGTCTTAGAGAGAAAAACACGAATCGTCGAGATAATACTTCAAAGTGGCGCATCCCCTCAATACTTCCCGTGTGAGATACCGAAACTCCCGGAGGAGGACGATAACGAGGAATGGGTGCAACCTCTTCTCTATGCCGTGAAGAGTGGCCATCTGGACCTCGTGGAATTGCTCTTGGAGTATGGAGCGGATGTAAATGTGCCCTGCTCCGAATACCCCGATGGTGGGTTTGGGAGATTATTTGATCGAGTTCTGTTCGTGGCTGTGGAAGAATCCGACGAAGAGATGGTGAATCTACTACTGGAATGGGACGCCAATCCGGAGATTACAGATATGGTAGGACAGCCTCCGCTCACATATGCCATTAATGGCGGAAATGAGAACATCGTTCAATCCCTGTTGGATCATGGGGCAAATCCGCACCGTGCAGTGGATCATTATGGCAGCAAACTGACATCATATCGGAAAATGAAACAATCGATGCGGAGTCTGCTACAAGATGCGGAGGAACAATGGCCCTACCGTTAGTGCTGAGGGTCCGAGAGCTAAGGTTGTTTCTTTCGAGAATGGTTAGTTCAATCATACAACGCATTGCATTCAGTTATCACACTAGAGTGCGGATTGTACGTAAAATATGGGAGTACTTGGTACGATAGAACGGTCAACAATTATTATATTTCGGAAACGAGTTCAGACTGCACGATCTCTTTGAGTTGTTGAGTGGGCAAGAAGTGGTACTTAGCTAACTATACTCCGTACAGATAGGATTCAAGCCATGGACAGTAGAATTTCTGCCTTTCCTTTATGATGCCATTCACTGAAGGTCGCGCATCTGAGCCCTCGTTCAAGGACCTCGAAAATAATAATAATCAGAAAGAAATATATATCATATCCATCAGAGACCATCACATACGTACAGAAAACATTATTTAGAAGATACCACGCTCTATGAACATGCTCTAGTCAGCTCTTCGCGCTTCACAACAACAACATGAGAATATATATAATGTCGAACTTACAAATTCTTGTACCATTTTTATATCCCCTTTAAGGGCCTCTTGCGATGCACTAGGCACATTATTCGATCCCCCTACCCTTTGACCTCCACTTATGTACACATCTTGTGCGCACATTCCGTAATTTATATTCCCAAGATCGTGCAATGGCAACGGAGACTCATTCCAGCTGGTTATGTCCGACCGGTGTTCTCCGCGTGTGGAATGGTTTCGATCATGGGAGTTGGGCGTGACACCGGAGGAGCCAGAAGGGGACTGGTTGCTGTCTGGCTTGGTGGATATGATAGATCGGAATGGAGGTAGGGATCCGACGATGATAGCTATCTTGATTGTTATTAGGATTCTATAGTAAATGTCGAGCGGCCAACTTACAGATTGACGATTCAACCACACTCCATACTGCAAGCGCTGCTTGGTCCGAATATGCCTTTCCGGTGATAGCAACTGCTCGGATAATTGCCGCTGCGACAATTATGATGCCAAGACAGAACACTATCCCTAACCCAATCTTTTGTTGCATGTTGATCTTTGCATGCCAGATGATGCGAAGTGGGAGAGACATGACTGTTGAATGATATTAACTCAAGAATAGAAAGGTAGAGTGGGTCTTCGTACTCAATAAGTCCGTAAGGATGTCGACTGCGGTGCTATATGATATGGAGATGACAGATCCTCTCTGATCAATTGGCTTTGAGCATTTCCCTGTCAACTGTTAGACATAGAAACTAGAGATGTTAAGAAACGGATTATCTACCAAACTTGAAGTAATTCGATGGCGGGTGACATGTGTACACAGACCCAATCCAACATCCGATATATGCCAAGGCTGCAAACACAACGGTGGCCCACCAGACCCGCCGGTACCGAGGCAACCCGTTGGATATCATCCAGAAGAGTGCTAGAAATGAGGCTTTTACGCTCCACAGCACGGACCAGAAGATCCCAATGATCGCAAACTCGTAGTGGGTGTAGCGAAGTCCGTGGTCGACAATATCTGGCCCAGTCATATTGAAGACTATATAATAGATGTGTGGAGCCTGAAGAGTCTGTAATACTGCGTTCGTTATCAAAAAGGCTAAGGCAAGCAGCATGAAATAGTCATCCGCTAGTAGACGCTTCACATACACGATTCGGATCGCGATACGAGCAGACGTAAACAGGATGCTTACTCCTGTTCCCGCCCAGGTGATAGCAATGAGGCCGGTCATTGAGAGTTCAGTTCCCATCCCTTGGGGAGTAGGAAGAATTTCCATAGTCATGGCGCAAGCCTGTATGTACACTTTTTGCCTAGTAAGTGACAACAGACAAGGCGCTCCGGTATAATTCAGATTCGATTCATGGCAAATAGGTAGGTCATGAGGGGTAAGCTCATAAGGTAATCCTTCCATCAATTTGTTTGTGCACAAGCTAGCTGGGAAGGAATGTGATAGGCTACGTTTACTTGGTCTGTTACTTACCGTTGCGCAAAAGAAAAGACTAGGGAACCCTGCCAATGGTGAAACCGACCTAGGCGGGGGGTAAAACGAGGGTAACACAGACTTAGATGCAACCAATTATCTCGAGTCTACGAGGTAATCCTCCGTATAAATGCACCATCATGCTAGTGGGACACCGCGAGTACTCCGAGAAACTATTTATAACCCTCACTTTTGGATGAATCGAGATTTTGCCTGTGAATGAAAGGGATTGCTTGTTTATTGGGTCGCCAGTGGCCCAGGGCGGCGGCATCCAAAGCGCTAAGATATGCAGCCCGGATTTAAATTGAGCGACCTCTCAACCCCTGCCGTTGTATTCGAAATTTTCGTTTTGTCCATTAGAGAAGAGGCTTCGCAAACGGAATGACTCCGCAGCATGCTTTTTGCTATTAGGCTTTTTAGAAATCCTAGAATAGGTGTTATACCTTATAGGCTGTTCTTCGAGCCCTTTAAGTTAGCCGCCGACAATTGAAACCTATATCCGCGATCTGAAAGTTGTCGTGATTGTCCAGCTTTTTTGATAATCACACAAAGTACACCTAAGATGACTCGACGCAGGCAAACTCGCGTTTGTCATGCAGGTTACCGGGTAGCCTTCCACATGACACCAGCAGGAAAATGTTCCTGTATGGTTAGAAAGAGATCATGTCTACCCTAGATACCTTCTTAAGTCCAACATCCAAGTCTACTTTTATGCAAGTCTAGCGATGGTACCAAAGCTAATCTCGTTGTTGCAATTTGCTGGTTTAGCCTATGCGGCTTTTCAGGCTTCATGCAAATGCGTAAGCGAAAAACAACACGAAAAACATCGACTTCGATTAACTCACTATCTAGACCCCAGGAGATCCATGTTGGCCCTCACTGAGATTATGGGAATCCCTCAATACAACAGTATCTGGAAAGCTGGTCCGCAATCTCCCAGTCGCTATCTCATGTTACCCCGGCACCTACGAAGACGAGGATGAATGCGCGTATGTGTATTCGCAGTGGTCGAATTCCACTTTCCAACAACTTTCCCCCGTCGGTTACTTTGTTCCTACGGAAGATGCTTGCCCTCCGATTGACATGCGCCATCAATCACCTCGCACATGTACGCTTGGTCCAGCTCCAGTGTATACCATCAATGCAACAGAGCCTGAGGAGGTAGTAGCTGGTATCAAATTCGCACAGGAGAATCATGTTCGCCTCGTCATTAGGAATACAGGGCACGATATGTTGGGGAAGTTAGTAGCACACGATGATTCAACAAAGGTACTATTCTGACTGATCACTTGGTTGTAGATCTGAAGGCTATGGAGGACTACAGATTTGGATCAAGTACATTCGAAAGGGAATATCTTTCCAAGAAAGGTATACTCCATCGAATGGATGTAGGAGCAGCAATTGGGCTGGCTCTGCAATCATTATTGGCGGAGGCTATGTTTGGCGAGATGTATACAAAGTTGCCTTTGAGCGCAATCTCACGGTTGTTGGCGGGGGGACCCGGTTGGTGAAATTCTTCCCCCAACAAAAAGCAAAGTTCTGATTTTGTTCCAAAGACCGTTGGTTGCATTGGAGGTTACACACAGGGTGGGGGGCACTCGCCAGCCAGTCATGACTACGGGCTTGCCGCAGACCAAGTACTAGAGGCCCAAGTTGTATTGGCAAATGGCGATATCGTCACAGCGAATCCTTGTCAGTTTTCGGATCTGTACTACGCTGTCCGAGGTGGAGGTGGTGGTACTTACGGCGTCGTCACGTCGATGACTGTCAAAGTATATCCCAGCAAGCCTGTTGTCGCACAGTCGCTCGAAATCACTCCACTAGCCAACGACACGGACTCACTCTTAGACGCGATTACCGATGTCTACCAGCAATATCCCAATATCATGGATGCAGGATTCTCCGGCTATGGATCCTGGTCTATTAACAGCCCTATGGCGAACCAAACACCTGGCTATATGCACGTTGTTGCGGCTATGAACAAGTCGCTTGTCCAGTCTTTGGAAGTTTTCGATACACTTTTCCAGACATTGCAGAAGTATAACGGTACACTCCTTCATATATCAGTGATATGGTATGAGTTCCCAACGTATGGGGCATACTTTCACGCCCTCTCTGGTGTATCCCAGCCAGTGAGGGCTGGGTCTCCCAACTCGGCTATGACATCACAGATGTTTAGCAAAGCTGCCTTGACGACTAGTCGCCCCTCACTTCGCAACATGATTGGTGTCACTGCGGGAAATTCTGAAGAGTGTGCATTGACTAATGTTGAGCTCGTCGGGGGTGGAAAGGTTCTCACTGGAGCATCTGACAAGTACTCCAGTGTGAATCCTGCCTGGCGATCTACCTATATTGTCAGCGTCGTGGCTAGATCTTGGGTGAATTACTCATCTGCTCAAATTGTCGAACATGATATCACTCATATCAAGGGAGCCGCTATGAGAGCGCTCGATCCATTCCTTGGAAGCTACATGAACGAGGTATGAATATTCTTCCTTTGCGGCGAATTAACAACTTTACTGACTGTAAGAAAGGCTGACCGCAATGATCCCCTATGGGCGACGGATTTCTATGGTACAAACTACGTGTCGTTAGCGCGAATCAAGAAAAAGTACGATCCGACGAGTCTATTCTACTGCCAGACCTGTGTGGGTAGCTCATCTTGGGCTCAGCGATATCTTGATGGAGCAAATTACGGCCCTCTTTGTTCTACTGGGCTGTGATGCACGATATTGAATGAGACGGCATTACAAATCCGCTTGAAACAATGCCACTGTCTGATCAGCATAGTCACTTTTAATAGTCTAGCGGCATAAGACATCGAGGAGGTTACCATGGATATGTTCTTGAACATAGGGATAACCTCCATATTTCCCTAAAATGACACCAAGTCAGTCCAGTACCGCTTGCCTAATGAGTGCTATGGAGCTGTATGAATTTTGTAAGAAACGACTCCATAGATCGTTGATACCTTCCAGGTCGCTTCCTGTTTGCTATTTGCCTCTTTCCTTTGTTCATTTGTTTGTTCTTTCCTTTCCAGGGTTGTTTGCACTCGAGCTAAGCGAGTCGTTCGAGTTTTGCATAGTTTGCAGTAAATCCAGCTATATAAACAGGCCGATTCCCACTTCTGCACTTACTTCTTCTCTCTCTTCATCATTTTGGATCAACCAACCACATCCCACATCGTGTTCATCATCCATCACATGACTTGTCTGTTCTTACTTTCATCCTTCAGACAACCCAACCACATTGTCCTTCTACCTTCTACCTTCTACCTTCTACCTTCTACCTTCCATCATCCACCATCCACCATCCACCATCCATCGTCCATCTTCCACTTTATGAGGTTTGTTTCTTATCTGTGTTATCACCTATTCTTCATCTTCCATCATCGTGGTCTATAATATCTGATGACATGGGGCTGACTGTACTAGATATGTGTGCTCACATCCACTCAACCACATCCACTCATCCACTTCATGCATCCACTTCATGCATCCACTTCAATCAACCTTCAATCAACCATCCACATCCGACTACTACAATGCTTCGACCTTTAAGAGGCGGAATGAAAAGAAACGGTCTTGAACGACAAGAGTCTCCGCAGGAGTGTCTCTGAAGGAGACTTCTCGTCGGGAAGAGGTTACAGCGTGTACCCAATTAAAGGAGACTCTCAAGGCCGTTTGCTGTGGTGGTAAAAACATGGTCGCCTCGACAAGCAAGAATTAACATTCAAGCTCCATATCCAAGCTCCACTTCAATCACCCACTTCAACCAATCACCCACTTCAACCAACCATCCACTTCAACTATCTATCCACTTCAACCATCCACTTCAATCAACTATCCATATTCGACTACTGCAATGCTTCGGCCTTTAAGAGGAGGAATGAAAAGAAACGGTCTTGATCGACAGAGTCTCCGCAGGAGTGTCTCTGAAGGAGACTTCTCGTCGGGAAGAGGTTACAGCGTGTACCCAATTAAAGGAGACTCTCAAGGCCGTTTGCTGTGGTGGTAAGAAAAATTGGTCGCCTCGACAAGCAAGCATCAACATTCAAGCGTCGATATCCAAGCTCCACTTCAATCAACTATCCAAATTCCACTTCAACCATTCACTTCAATCAACCACGTTCAATCCCTCAATCAACCACATTCAAACATCCACTTCAAGCATCTACTTCAATCAACCAATTTCAAGATCCTACATTCAACCAACCACGTTCAATCAACCACGTTCAATCAACCACATTCAATCAACCACGTTCAATCAACCACTTCAAACAACCAATTTCAAGATCCTAATTCAATCAACCACATTCAAGCAACTACATCCAAATATCCACTTCAAGCATCTACTTCAAGCATCCACATTCAACCAACCACGTTCAATCAACCACTTCAAACAACCAATTTCAAGATCCTAATTCAATCAACCACGTTCAATCAACCACATTCAAGCAACCTCGTTCAAGCAACCACATTTAAATATCCACTCCAAGCATCCACTTCAAGATCCTAATTCAATCAACCACATTCAAGCAACTACATCCAAATATCCACTTTAAGCATCTACTTCAAGCATCCACATTCAACCAACCACGTTCAATCAACCACTTCAAACAACCAATTTCAAGATCCTAATTCAATCAACCACATTCAAGCAACTACATCCAAATATCCACTTCAAGCATCCACTTCAAGCATCCACTTCAAGCATCCACTTCAAGATCCTAATTCAATCAACCACGTTCAATCAACCACATTCAAGCAACCTCGTTCAAGCATCCACTTCAAGATCCTACATTCAAAGTATCCACATCCAAACAGCTACTTCAGTCAACCACTTCTATCATTCACATTCAGCCTTACTGTGACGGGTTTCGGCTTCAGGACCATTTGCAGGCTTGCAACAACAGCAAACACGAAAGGAACAGAGAAAAGAAAAGAAAACCAAAAGAAAACATCTCGAATGATTTCAATCAGCTACTTCAGGATCCTGTATCCTAACAACCACTTCAATCAACCACTTCAATCATCCACATTCAGACAACCACGTCAATCAACTACTTCAAGATCCCGCATCAAGAACCAGTTCAAGCATCCAGTTCAAGCATCCACTTCAATCAGCAATCCACATTCAACCATCTACAATGCTTCGACCTTTAAGAAGAGGAATGAAAAGAAACGGACTTGAACGATAACAGTCTCCGAAAGAGTGTCTCTGAAGGAAACTTCTCGTCGGGAAGAGGGTACAGTGTGTACCCATTCAAAGGAGACTTTCAAATAATTCATTTATTGATTCTACCTGAGTTTAATCCTTAGCTGTGGTTTATGCCTATAGAAAAGACTATGTATATATGCTACACAATAGGCTGCTACAAGGAATGTTACGAATGGAGCCATTATCTCTTGGCTTCAGATCATCGGAATGTTACTCTTCGAAAAGACCGTAGAATATTCGATCCGATCTCCAGATATTATTATGACTTAGTTTAGACTGTCCAACGTCTTGTTCCATCGGGATGACTGGGAGTCATGTGGGAAATTCCACGCCATGCTTAGATGAAGCAACCGAGCTCCCAATATTTTTCTTTCTCCACCCGAAGGAGTTTAGTGCAGATAGCAGATTACAGCGAACAGCATCAAAATCGCCCTGGAATGAAGCAAATGTAACTAAACTACCAGGACCTTCTCCGTAGGACCGGAGAATTGCGGATTTCAAGGGCGTTGCGTAAAAGCCCTCGCTCTTGCAAGAAAGGATCGGCGGACGCGCGGTGTTGTTGGGCATGGTCCGTGCACTCTAAGCCTGAGGCATCAATATAAACTTGATCCCACCGCCAAGGCCGACCTTCAGATCGATCTTTCGTATCTCCAACAACAATTATTGAGTGAACCATACGAAACCCACAACGATCAAGATGACCTCAGCACCTAGAGATGCACTGGAGTTTCCAGATTCAGATAGGGGCTTCTTAGAGCCTCATCTACCTCCTCGGGATGGCTCGGCACCTGAGTCTGATCTCCCCTTCACAACACTCACATTCGCGACCTCGCTTGACGCTTCTCTAGCTCTGTCTCCTGGTGCACGTACAGTTCTTTCTGGACCCCAATCCAAGGCAATGACTCATTATCTGCGATCTCGCCATGACGGAATTATCATTGGCGTTGGTACGGCAGTGGCAGACGATCCCGGTCTCAATTGTCGAATCACAGGAGTTGGGGGTTATGGAAAGCCCGGCCTAGATGGCCAGCCTAGACCAGTTGTGATTGATCCGACAGCCCGATGGGACTTTTCAGACGACAGCAAGCTGTTCCAGCTTTGCAGAGAGGGGCGTGGCCTTGCACCATGGATCATCACCGCAGTTGAGAAACCAAACGCCAAGAAACAAGCATTACTGGAAAAATACGGCGGAAGATTTATCCCAGTCAAAATGCTTAGAACCCACACCGGCCGACATCAGGTTGACTGGCCAGATTTGCTCGTCACCCTGAAATCGAACGGTCTCGATAGCGTGATGGTAGAGGGTGGTGGCCAGGTCATCAAATCCCTTTTGAGCCCGCTTTACATGTCCTTGTTGGACAGCGTCATTGTTACTATTGCTCCCACGTGGCTGGGCGAAGGTGGCGTGGTCGTCTCCCCTGATAGGCGCTTTGACGAGGATGGAAATGCGATATCCGCAGCGAGATTGAAGAATGTCAAATGGTACCCATTTGGGGAAGATGTCGTTCTTTGTGGGCAGATCAAGCTCTCTGACTGAGAGAACACCTTGAATCTTTTTACCTACTGAAATTGATCAACCCTCAAGTGCATGTTCCTTCGATGTAAGGATTCCAGCCTAGATCTCGAAACGATTGATTGCTATGTCTTATCTCGTCACCGAACCGTGGCAACTTGACAATAAAACATTACACTATTTCATCTGCTAGGTCATGTTTCCCACTCCACCGGCGTACGGTTTATCCCAAGCTTTCCGTTGACCCCACTTGTCCACCACGAGCCAATTGGAAGGCCTGTACGCATGTATCAAAAATATGTCATGTCCTGCGTTTTGTCCCTAGGTATGTGAGGGAAGACTTCCGTGTGAAGAATAAGGAACATACTTCTACTTTACTGTGGGAATCCACTTGGGAATACCGAATTAAATATTTTCAAAATCAACACTCAACACTAGTCGCAGCTTTATATCTTGAGGACTATCGTGGTGGCTTGAACTCAATTCGAATAATATCTCTGGCATAGAAGGAGACATTAACAATGGCCTTGTATCATTCATTTCATTCTTTATCTGCAACAATGGTCTTTGTTTTCGGAAGATTCATTTCTGAACTAATAGGAACCAAAAACAATTAAATAGCCCCGATGCCCACATCATCGGGACTCCATCAGGGCCGACCTCTTGATCAGCGCTCGGAGCGTGTAATTCATCGACCATCTCTAGGTAAGTACTAACAATTAGATATACTGACATTTCCAGGCTCTACAGACAATGCCGCCACTAAACGATGGCGAGCAGCACGAGCGTATGCTCACTGCTCTCCGGCGTGGAATTCACGATCTCCGATCCAACCCAGAGAATCGCATGCTGGTAATTGAAAGGTTAAACGCAATTTCTCGTCTGGCTCGCATCTGTGCACAAGTCGGGAAGGACGCTCATTTCACGCGGCTTTGTGACACCCTTCAGAGAGAAATGCCACGCCAAATCGCTCTGCTCAAGGGTGACATAAATAGTAACCTTATAGTTGCAAATGCGCTCGCCCAAAAGATCCTTGAATCGTCCTCATTTACTCGCTCTGTCGCTGTTTTCAATAGCGAGAATGAGACCGACGAGGAAAGTGAGTTGGATCCTAGCAATGATAACTATATTGCACGATTGCTACTTGGTTCGAAATGGGCTAAAGAGGTAGTTGACCTTCCGGAGGAGCCATATAGCAAGCCTGAGGTTTTTGGAAGCGCTCGTGAAGATGAAGATGAGATGGATCCCAGCCATGATGACCATATTGCACGCTTGCTGCTTGGTCCGAGCTGGGCTACTCCGATAGCTGATTTTGCCGAGGAGCCATACAAGGGGAAGAAGGCGGCGGGTAAGTGATTGTAGATTTATTAGGTCGCACGAATATTCTTCTCTATAACATTGTTTACTTGAATCGATGTTTGTTCGAGATGAAGTTGAGGACATTTTGTATTGTGGGCTGGAAATATGAAGAATATTATACAAATCCTAAATTACATAGTTTCTAGATAGTATAGAGTGGTGAGATCGCTTTTTATCATTCAGAGCAACACAGCAGTGTTTTTTTAATCTCTGTAAGCCAAGGGAAAAGATGGGCCGGTACTATCTTTCCTGCTAGATGTTCTATCAATATCCGGCCGAGTCATCTCACGGTGAATAATGTTGGTCAACTCCTCTTGTTCACTGGGTGACGTCACTGTGTCTCGTCTTTCCAAAGCAGCCCTTTGTTCATCCTCGCTGTCCGATGTTCCGCTTCTTTCGGCATGACGTGACGCTTGCCGTCTGACCCGTTGAGCCTCTTCCTTCTCAAGGATTGCAGCCGTCACTCGCTCCTTGCAAGCCTTTTCTTCGATTTCCTGTTCTATGCACGCGTAATGAGCCCTTCTATAAACACCGATTGAGCTCGACGTGATGCCAAGAATCTCGTAAACGAAGAGAATAGGCAGCGCGAAATAGAGTTGGGGGTTGCAGCCAGAAGACCATATGTCGATGAGTACCTGGAAGACGGAATGTGCTGGCAGGGCAAAGCCCAGTTTGTAGAAAGCAGGTGCCAGCTCGAATGGGAGAAGAATGGAAGTGACATTCGAGACGACCCACGATATCAACGCCATCGGCACGTAGGGAGGGGGAAGCCAGATGGTGAAAGTGTCTAGCACGAGGAAATTCACATGTGCAAAGAGCCATAATGCCAGCCAATTGAGTGCGAACTGGTTTCCATTAACAGTCCAGCCACTTTTGAATGCCCAGATTGCACCGGCGGTACATATGGACCCGACAAGTGTGTACACTGAAGAGATGACTAGGCGCGCAATAGCGATGCGATGGGCTGACAGCGAGGTGTAGAGTTTGAATTGAACGTATAAACCATTGATAGTACCAAGAAAGAAGAACTCTTGGATTACGATCAAGATGATAACTAGGGTGTTGTAGACAACCCTTGACCCTTGTTCTGTGGGTTGGATATTGTTGTCGGCTAATGTCCAAGGATCGTAGAACGCTGCAATCGCAGCAGGATCGGAGCTGTTGATACTCTGCAGAGACTGTTTCCCGTTGGTTTGCGAGTACGCCAGACGCGCAGTTTCCGAGAATACTTTCATGCTATCTGCAAGGACGGTGTCAATTACCGTTGGGTAGCGCGCTTCATTCCACACCATGGTAAGAACATTGTTCTTATCGTACGAAGATGCAGCTGCTCCACCTGCTAATGCGGCGCTCAATGCGTTGGACGCATTTGCTGTCGTGTATAATGCTCCCCAGTATTTGATGTCGCAGACTGCACCTTCAATCGAGCCAGGGTGGGGGTACGCTGAGGCAGATCGCTCAACAAGGGTTGGAAAGCCGGGTCCCTTGAGGCTTTGAAACGCGGCGCGGGCCGCGTCGCCTATCGCACCACCATCGTAGTCAACAAACAAAACATTGATGTTATGAATGTGTGAAGACTGCTGGAAAAGGGATCCGAATAGGTAACAGAATAAACCGAGGAATAGAATTTGGAGCAGAAGAAGATTGATAGCAGATGCCTTTAGCAAGCCGAATCGACGCGGCCGAACAGATGGGTGGTGGATGCTAGGCCGCTGCTCTCGCGCTCTGGGATAGAACTGCATGTAACCCGGTGGAGCGATAGCTTTATACCAGATGAGGGCGATGATATAAATGTCAGACTATAGATGTAAGAAGTCTGTGATGAGCCTTTCGACCTCCGAAGCAACAAATCCCGGCCAAAAACAGGTATCAAGTCCCGAAGCCCGGCGGGGATTGTAAGCGGGTCGGCAAAGTTTAAAAGGCCGAAAGGCTTTCGGGAAGATAGGATGAGACGAATTATTTTGAGCTCATAGCCCTACGAGGTGTAGAGTCGACATCTACCTCAAGATTCTGTGTCAAGATTCTATGACGACATATCCTGATAAAGGGGAAACAATAAAGACGTCAGGCCACTTGATCGAAGGGCGGAAGGATTCTCGGGCCCCACAGTGATTAACGTCGACTCCACTTTCTTATTATGTAATCCAGGCTTGGCGACCGTTTTGGGAAGGTTCGCGGCCTGAATAACCAGGTCGAAGATCTTATCTCTTTGGCCCGGGAAATGGCCTTCAACTGTCCTCTGCCGATATCAATCCCAATCCGGTCCGTTGTTTATCATCTTAATAACACCAGCATATTCAATCGTGATGGTCAACATCCGGAAATCACCGGTGGCACCTTTCTTCGCTGTCTCGCGGTGTTGCACCCCTCCTTGGTGATCACCTCTCCGCGTGTCTGACTCCGGTTCTGTAATGTTTGTGAATATCTCACCCTACCGTAATATCGAGTTACGGTCCGGATTGAGAGCAGAATGGAGGTGATATTGGTACTTCCGGGGGTGGTGAAAACTCACAGCTGATTGGCAATACTCGGTGATTATGAGCAAGATATCGACCACTTTTTGTCCTCAGTTGATTGGAAGGGTATTCCCAAGCCCGATGCTCCTTTTAGAGGAATGGGACAAGGTTATTTGGTGCTACACGTACAGGATGTGAGATCAGAGTATCACTGATGCGCTAGGTTATTCTTTGCTGCCACGAATCTTCAAGTCTCTCTCTATTCAGCCACACTGAACGCTTCCTCAACAAGCCAAATATAAACCTCAACACCAATCAACATTTTACCCAATCTCCGTCTACCGGTCTCACAAATGCACAGGCATGTTGAATAATTAATGTTGAATAATCAATGTTGAGTAATCAATGTTGAATAATCAAAATATTCCTCGGCAGGCCAATTTCTGATATTCCCAGGCGGCCCTCGCTTTAGCCGCCTCGAATGGGCTTCAGATACTGCTTTAGGACTATAGAAACCTCGTCATCGGTTTTTAGAAGGATTATTGAGAAGTAATCTACCTCGGAATACTCGCCAATTACCGATTACCCTATCGTTGCATTCGATCCTTCCTCATAAGAGAGCGTCGTAACGATATGTACCTCTCTGCTTCTTATCTGCTTACCTTCCAAGGGTATTGTCAACATGGTGCAACTTGATGACGGCCTGGAGGCTGCTACACACGGTACCATTGATGTTTTACAGTCATCATCCGACGATACGCTCGACCTGGCATTCGTCAATACTGCAGAGAAGCCTGAAAGCAGTGAAACCTGGGATTGGGATAATGATCCGAGCAATCCTTACAATTGGCCAACAATTCAGAAAGTTCTGCAAGTGATGATGATTGCATGGGCGGCTTTTACAACGTTGGTTATTCCTTCCGCGCAACGTGAAGGTGACTTCAAATCTGACATGTTATTCAGGAGTGTTGGAGTCTCTATTATCTCACCCGCTCACTCGCAGTTCATGGAGGAATTTGGCGTCAGCAGCACCGTCGCTATATTACCCATGTCACTCTACGTTTTTGCTCTAGCCCTTGGTCCTATCGTTGGAGGACCTCTTTCTGAAACTGTCGGGAGATACCCAATCTACATCGGAGCGATAACTCTGGGAACTTTGTTCACTCTAGGGGTTGGGTTTTGTCCCACGTTTTCTGGGCTTTGTGTTTTACGTTTCTTGGCTGGTTTCTGCTATGCACCAACTCTGGCGATTGCGGCCGGAACTATCAATGAGACGTTCAAACCAGTCCACCGCGCTCTTCCCTCGGCTATCTTTATTCTCACGCCTTTTCTGGGTCCTGGTCTAGGGTCAATATTTTCCGAATTATCCTATTTGACAAGTTCTCCGTCTTGCTGACTATTTCTTAGGCCGGTTATTGGAAGTTTCGTTGTCAATCGGAAAGGCTGGCGTTGGACACAGTGGACAACGATCTTCTTCGCGATCGTGACTGGAATCATAATTTCAATTGCGAAAGAGACTTTTCATCCTATCATCAAGCGTCGTCGTGCCCGGGAACTAGGATTAGAAGCTCCCCCATCAGCACCTCTCTCGTCCAAGCTACGCCTATTTGTAACCATTTCTCTCCTCCGCCCTATCCATATGCTCCTAACTGAACCCATCGTTGGCTTCATTTGCCTTTACGTTGCTTGTGAATTTGCGACACTCTTCTCGTTCTTCGCAGCCTTTCCATTGATCTTCCAAGGTACCTATCATTTCAACATCGAGTCCTCCGGCCTAGTCTTCTTGGCCATTGTCGTTGGATGTCTACTCGGAACTGTGACAGTCATACTATGCAACGTCTTTCTTTACCTCCCGAAAGTCGCAAATCATCCGGAGGGGCAAACACCACCCGAATATCGCCTCTATCCAGCACTAATAGGTAGTGTTGGATTGCCGATCGGACTGTTCTGGTTTGCGTGGACTGCCAGGGCTGATATCTCCTGGGCAAGTCCCGTCGTTGCAATCATGGTTTTTGGATGGGGCAATCTATGTGTCTTTGTGAGCACAACACAGTACCTCGTTGATACTTATCATGGCCTCACTATCGCGAGTGCCATGAGCGCCAATGGGTTGGCACGTTATGGACTCGCAGCTGCGTTCCCTCTGTTTACCGTCCAAAGTGAGTGTCTGCCCTTTATGATGATAATTAAAAAATGTATCCTTACGCGTCCTATAGTGTACACCAGGCTCGGTACAGGGTGGGCCTCTAGCGTGCTTGGGTTTATTTCAGTGGCACTTTTGCCTGTTCCGTGGGTCTTTTTCAAGGGTGGAAAGAGATTGAGGGCTTTGAGTAAATATCAAACCGCGGAGAATAGTAAGTGATGGTATGTCAATATGTGACATGCTTTATAATGCCGAGTGGTAGGTAGTACATAGTTGAATTAATTGGTATGACGATGTCCTCTGGTACCTGTAATTCTTATCTGCAAGGCATTCTTGTTCGTGAAACTCAGACTTAATGTGTCCCAGTATCCAAAATACCCCTTTCCAAAAAGATCAACCCTCAAAATGTTGAAGGTTGAGTCCGGGCTCCACCAAGAAATCCACCCGAACCTAATGAGCTTAAAATCCGTTGGGAGAGTATAACTCAACCTATCCCCTAATATGAATAATCATAAAATTATGTCGTCGATATAAAGAGCAAAATCCCAGTCCTGATCTAGGTGTATTATCTCCACGGTCTATCATCATACAGTACTATTCCGATTATGACTGTCCCTAAAATAACCTTATATTTCGACATTGGCAGTCCCTTCGCCTGGATAGCGTTCCATGCTTTGAAGGTTAGTGGAACATCTCGAAGGACTTGATGAACGAGAAAGCTAATCATTGTCGATAGACGTCCCCTGTCTTTGAAAAATGTGACATTGACTATGTTCCCGTCTCCGTGCGAGGACTGTTCCAGTTGTGCAAGAACACGCCCCCTTTGGCCGTCAAGAGTGGGTTCTTCTTCTTCTTTTGTTCCTAAGGATATGGACTACGGACTCTATATTTAGCATGCTAATTTCCCATTGTAGACAAGGCCCAATGGTTGAATCAAGAACGCATTTACTGGGCTCGTCGCTTCCAGGTTCCCATGTCCGAAGCCCTCCCGGAAGCATTTCCGGCATCCACTTCGGAGGTCCAGCTTGCTCTATGCCTTGTGGCTAAACAATGCCCCGATAAGATTATCCCCATCATGGATAATATCTATCGTGGCTTCTGGGAAGAGGGTGACGCGAATGTCCTCACTCAGCCCGGTTTCTCTCCTATCTTTGAAAGTGAACTTGGGCCCGAAAACGCTAAGCGGATCATGGATGAGGTACGGTTTCTTCTGGCTTAAATGACTCGTATTTCTTCTCTAATATTGTTCTACAGTTCAAAGGTACCGAGACAAAAGACATTTTGGATGAAAACACACAACAGGTCGTCAACTCCGGCGGCTTCGGTTTGCCTTGGTTTGATTGCATAGATGCACAGGGGTCAAAGGAAAGCTTCTGGGGAATTGATCATTTGGGACGTCTTGTGGACTTTTTGCAACTAGATGCAAACCTAGACAAGTCTTTCCGCGTCTTACTCTAGCATGACATGTTGAAGCTTAGTCCTGGTCACTACCGACCCTTCACAACCCTTTAGATAGACGTCAGATTAACCTACCAGCCGCATTTGATTTGAAATAAAATTTCCTAGATTATCAGTCTCAATATCTGGTAGATAGGCGGCTAACATATATGAATAGTAATATTACTACGACAAGAAAGACCCAGGAAATGAAATTAATTTGAACAATACTCGATATATTGATAAGTTAATGATAAGCCTTCACGAATCGGCTGCTTCGTGGATCGGGGTACCTCGGAAGAAGGTCTTCAAGGGAGGAGCAGCTGGCTCGGCTTTACGCTTTACGCCGGCGACTCGAGGTGGCAGCTCCGCAAAGAGCTCGCGTGTCGCACCCGAGACAGATTCGTTCTTTGTGATCTCCTGCCAATATCGTAGCACGATATGCCACTTTCCATGGGCAATAGCAGAATGCTTGCCCTTAGCAGTAACGCTGTCAAACCAAAGCTTGACCTTTGTGGCAAGATTCACCCAAAGATCTAGAACAAGTTAGCCTATAAAAGTTTAGGAGTAAGTGACTTACTTCGAAGGTAAGACTTTCCGGCTGGGCCTGTCCTTTCAATGTCCAGGAACTCGGCAATAAATCGGAAGCAGAAAGTGAAATCTTCCCCGCTAAATCCATTATAGAAGTAGCTGCAAAAGGCCTCCTCTTCGGTAATCTGGAGACAGCATCGTACCTAAAATATACCACACCAGATATATATATTCTTGGAGTGGTGAGAGAAAGATGAAGAAGGTTAGATTCTACAATGATCGAGATCGCATGTGATCGACACGTGAGCACCACAACAATTTTGACTTTTTCTTATTATGTGGTAAATTCCCACTCAGCATTCTCTGAGGAAGTAATAGATAATTCGAGATACTGAATGCTGAATATATTTGAGGTGTTGATGTATGTACCCTCCTTCCTAATTAGGCTGGCACCTACCTCGACAACTTATTCCGGTATACCGCCCTCCACACCGCTTTTTAGATTTTATGCCTCTCTAGTCCCTCCGTAGATACCTGCAATTTGTATGTAAGCCACTAACAAAATCAAGTCACTTTTCGAAGGTTGTCATATCAACTGCTTCATCAAGAACTGCTTCATCGTCAAGGGGTTAAATCCTATAGGAATCAAGTAGAATATACTATCTTCTCTGATTAAAATGAATGTTTTTTTACGGGCAGAATATATGGCAAAATCCATGGTCGCACCCAATCTGGAAGGTTGTATACTCCGTACTGAAATTTGAGGCAGGGGGGTACATCTAACAACACCCTATATTTACTCGATACTATTATATTTTCCAGGTTTATATGCGAGCTATGTGTCTAGTAGAGGGGTAAAAGTCATTATTTTACTCACTTGGTGACGCGATCCCGCATTGAATGGCAACATGTCGTTCAATCAAGGACCGGCCCTAGCTAAGTCTTATTGGGCATGACCCATGTTGCGCATCTCGTCGTCTTCCTAAGCGATCTATCAGCATTAGCATTATCTTGCGTGGACCCCTCCATCTAACCGGATTTACCCTTGCCATGCTGATCCTGCACATACTAAGCATTTGATTCATCATCACGGGCGCAAATGTCACCTTGTAAACATACATTTCCGTCGGGTTTTCTCCGCGGCACTACTGCAAAATGCCAGATAGCGTCGGATTGACATTCGCTACGAGCATTGCGCAATCCTAGGTGAAGGGTACGAGTCAAAATATATATCTTGTAGCGAAAGACCCAAATCCATATCGTAGAAGTTGTCAACCAGACTAAAAATCGATAATGTCGAGCAACAGCTTATCATCGCTGGATTCAAAGCAGCCGATAGTCCAACAGACGCAGGTCCCGACCACAAAGAATGCTGTAAAAAGTGAAGTTTTGGCTGCGGGTGGTTCAGTCGAGTTCTATGAACCCATCGCGGAGTACGAAGGGAAACATCGATATGATCCACTTGCCGAATGGACGGAGAAGGAAGAGCAGCTGCTCGTCAGGAGGGTAATGAAGACCTTTTCCAGGATTACTATACTATAGCCACCCGACTAACATTTGACATAATAGCTCGACTACAGAATTTGTTCTTGGGTCTGTCTGATGTTCTTTGCCCTTCAGTTGGACCGGGGAAATATTGGACAAGCATTATCCGACGGAATGCTTGATGACCTCGGGTTATCAACTAACCAGTACAACTACGGCATGACGATATTCTATCTTTGCTTCCTGTGCGCAGAGGTGCCGTCGCAAATGATCTCCAAAAAGCTTGGTCCCGATGTATGGATTCCCATTCAAATGGTTCTTTGGAGTGTAGTCGGGATTTGCCAGGGCCTAGTCAGCGGCGAGCACAGCTTCTATGCTACTCGGGCACTTCTCGGTCTGATAGAAGGTGGCTTCATTCCCGACGCACTCCTTTACCTATCCTACTTCTATACAAATAACGAGTTACCCATGCGAGTCGCCTTCTTCTACTGTTGTTCCAGCGGTACTGCCATCGTTGCGGCGTTTTTGGCATTTGGAATTCTGCACATGCGATCCATAGGCGGCTGGGAAGGCTGGAGGTGGCTTTTCGTTCTCGAGGGTGCTGTAACTTTCACTATTGGTGTCATCTCCTGGTTTTATTTACCTCCGAGTCCGACGCAGACAGCAAGCTGGTTTCGAGGGAAAGATGGTTGGTTCTCAGAGAGAGAGGAAGTCATCATGGTCAATCGAGTCCTACGAGATGATCCAGCAAAGGTGCGTATGAAGGGATTTTTATCAATGTTTATACTGACTGTGAGTGTGTAACATAGGGTGGCATGCATAATCGTCAAGGTCTGACACTGAAACTTTTGCGGGACGCTCTCATGGACTACGATCTTTGGCCAATGTATTTGATCAGTCTCACGCTGCTGGTTCCTATTAATCCTGAATCAGCATATGTGACCCTCTTTTTAAGGTCACTTGGATTTGATACATTCAAGGTCAATCTTCTGACCATTCCTGCGACCGTGTTATTCCTGATCCAACTCATCTTTTGGTCTTGGGTGTCTGAAAAGATCAACAACCGCATGGCCATTTTACTATTTTATTCCTTTTGGGTTTTCCCTCTCCTGATGGCACTAGAGCTGATGCCGGTGACTGCAAGTCCTTGGAGTTGGTACGCAGTTACAGTTCTGGTCATTGGTTCTCCATACGTCCATTCTATCAATGGTTAGTACTAATATCTTCTCACAACATCTCAAATTCCGAATCCTCTGACGCCGTTATTCTTATAGTCAGCTTGATCTCGCGGAACGCTGGTTCTGTGCGCACTCGCACTGTGGGTAGTGCAGTATATAACATGCTTTGCCAAACAGGCTCTATCATTTCTTCAAACGTATGTTTTGTGATACCCCGAGATATCTTTTTATATCGTTGATTAGTTTTGTGCCTAACATATCTTCTTTTTCAGATCTACCGAACGGATGATAAACCCTACTACCGAAAGGGAAACAAGATCCTTCTGGCTCTTGTCGGATGGAACGTTTTGGTCACCATCTTCATTAAGCTCTACTATATGCGGAGGAACAAAAAACGTGAGCGGCTTTGGAATGCTATGAGTCCAGATCAGAAACAGCATTACTTGAGAACAACGAAAGATGAGGGCAACAAAAAGTTGGACTTCCGATTTGCCCACTAGCTCCTAGTGAGGGCCGATGATGGTGGGTGCATGTTACAAATTTGCATTTGCACTTGACGGTTTCAAAAATATTTGAGATGAATATACAATTATCCTTTTTACACAGTATTGTTAAATTCAGGCGTTATGGAGCGCTTTATACAGATTCGGCGGTCTTATCCGCTACCTTGGTGAGAATTATTGCAGTGAATATAGGACCTGAACGACGAATGGAGTTTTTCCAAGGCACAAGAGCATAGAGATTATTTCTACCCTTGATTCAAAATTTCCAATGATTTTACATCATTCTTATGTTGAGGTTTTGACGATGTTAACTATGTGTTTCCAAATTGGGCAACAAACAATGCAAACATGCTAATTATGTGCATAATTCTGCTGATTGAAATTTATGACGCCAAGACTGCGATTTATGCACAAACTGTAGACTTCCTTCGACCCAAATTGGTAAGAGAACACCTTCCTCTCCCCTAACTATCCTCTCTTGTCAATTTATTATCTTCCCCGACACACTGTCATGCACTGGCGCAAGGCTCTAGAGAGAATGACATATCTCCCTATCTAGTCACACCGTGCTCGCTTTGACATCTCCGTGAAAACCCGGTCTCAGTGTTGTCACCGTTATTATCCCTGTTAAGTCCAACGCCGATCATAGGAAGTAGTCGGCACAAGACCCCCGTGACATCATATCCTAAGTTGAAAGACCTCACCGACTGGTTAGGCCTTCGCTGTCATCTCAGCCGCCATAATGCGGGGTAATCGACAATGGAACAAGCTCGATGTTGGACTTTTCTAATGAGGAAGGTTACTCTTCGATCCGATATCGGTGGGGCAGTCTTGAAACAGTAAAAGATCGGTCGATCGGATGTCCTTTGCGCAGCGACTTCACGTCGCTAATATTATAGTTGCTTCTATTTTCTTTTGTCAAGTCCAGCACATGCTCACGTACTATTTTCTTTACTATTATTTGCTCCGGGCTCTAATGTTTGAGGACTAAACACTCAGATCAAACAAATGGACTGTGATGTACGACTATAGCCATGTGTCTGGCCCCTGATGACCACGAGTGCCAACACATGAAAGCCATGCGCCTCGTGTGACCCAACTTCACCCCCTGGGCTCTATTTCCCGGGCCTATCATCGTGGAGAAACATACATTGGCTAGGGGTAAATTGTTGGAGGTATCATATCTGGGCTGCATATTTCCGGATTATTTCTTGGCTTCGGCTCGCTTTCTGTTTCCACAATCTATCTAATTTTCTCTCCCTTGCATCATGTTACTACTGTCGGAGCTTTGACCCTTGATCGACGACCATATAGCCGTCTTACCGCCCCCATACCTGGTACAGGTATGGGTCTGTCCCACATAACGACTGTTTCTCACAAAACGAGAGATTTCTCTTTTTAGGTATCTTTTATATGGTATACCCATACAAAAGGTACATAAACATGAAATAGAGATTTTGTCACTTCTAGGAATACTTACAAAAGATATAGTAGGGGATATATAGTCTAAAGGAGGTCTATTTTATTTACTATTAATATATTAGGATGAAATATTGAGTATTCTCCAAGTGGTAGAACGTTGATGTTTCTATATATATCTCTTTCATAAATATGGTCTTTACTTTTCTATATAAGATATCTGAAACTTCTTTTATTAGCCAACTAATTTAACTATAAATTTATCATTGATTTATACTCTTATTTCTCCTTTAACTAGCCAAAGGGTTGAGGATATGATATGGGGTATATATACCTTTTGTATGGGTATGCCATATTAAAGATACCTAAAAAGAGAAATCTCTCGTTTTGTGAGAAACTCTCGTTATGTGGGACAGACCCATACCTGGTACAGGTATGGGGGCGGTAAGACGGCTACCCCTAGTCCGAAGTTCCTTGCCGCATCTGGCCGAGCTTGGCGGTTTGATCCGCACATTCTATTCCCTAGTCACCCCTAGCCACCCGCCCCGTGGGAGATCTTCCGCCCTAATATATACGTTGGATCATGGCTCTAAAGCACAGCTGAACTTAGACTGACTTCGATGGTAGAATTAAATGTTGTATGCGGTCATACTGACAAGTCTAATCATCTCAACTCCAGCAACGTGGAGTCAAGTCGCAGGGCATTCACCCAGGTATCTTGCAGTTATCTAGGGATACCCCGGTCCTTCTCAGAATCAGAATTCTAGACTCAAATCAAACAATGGCCCTCGGCCGAATAAACCCAATCTCCTTTGTGCCCTCGCCAACTAATCCTCGATGGCAAGGGATTTGAGGATATTTCCAAGGTTCTTGTGAAAGTATCAAGGTGATTTATCTTCCCTTCTTTTGTTTCCCTTCCCTTTCATAGTCCCCTAGTGATCTGGCCAGTCCTTCATTTGCAACCCATCAAAGCACCTTTTAGCTTTCAAGTATTCTATAACGTAGCCCGATAATAGGGCTTCGAAAATATCAAATATAAAATAAACACGAAACGCCAGCACAACCTCGCACATGATTGGATGGACCAAACTACATTTCGCCGAGTCCCGATGCCACCTGATGGATCTCCATATCAGGCGTTGCGGCTGTGGCTTTCATTGTTTAATCTCCTTCCCACTGCTCGGAGTTAATATGCCCCTCGGGGCCAAGCAGACGCCCAGCATGTGGCCTTACTTCAGGTGTCTTGGTACCCTAAATCCAATGCGGACTCTGTTCCCCTACATTCGGACAATGTCGGTCAAATATACATATAAGAAGGACTTAGCTCCCCTCCTCCGATTAATGATCAGCAACTTGGATCTTCGAGACCTCTATCTTCTGATAATTCGTCCAATATGCGGTCTTCTTTCATGAAATCCACTTCCACATGGGGTCTACTAACCCTATCCCTTCTTCCGGCTGTCCTGAGCTCGCCTCTATTCGAAAAGCGAATCAAGGGTCCCTGGCTGGGCCTGAACACCAACTTCCCCGATCCAAGTTTCATGAAGGCGGCCGACAACAAATGGTACGCATTCGGCACCAATGGTAACGGAAAGCGGGTCCAAGTCGCCGTTTCAAATGACTTCCAAACATGGACACTCCTCGATGTCGAAGCCCTCCCCACAATATCAACATGGGAAACTGAGAGCGATCACTGGGCACCTGACGTGGTGATGCGAGTAAGTTTTCTCGGCTTCTAAAAAAATTAACCCTAAAAATTAAATAAAACAAATAACTAACTATCTCCAAGGACGACGGAAAGTACGTTATGTATTACTCCGGTGAAGCAAAATCAGATCTCAGACACCACTGCGTCGGCACAGCCGTAGCAGACCACCCAGAAGGACCCTACGTCCCAAGCAACACGCCCCTATCCTGCCGCCTCGACCAGGGGGGCTCAATCGACCCAGCAGGGTTCAAAGACAAAGACGGCAGTCGCTATGTCGTCTTCAAAGTCGACGGCAACAGCATCGGCCACGGCGGAAACTGCAACAACGGTGTCGAGCCGCTTGTTTCCACGCCGATCCTGCTGCAGAAGGTTGGCGCCGACGGTGTCACGCCTATCGGGGACGCGGTGCAGATTCTCGATCGCAGTACTGCTGATGGTGATGGCCCGCTGGTCGAGGCGCCGAATCTGATCCTCCATGGGAATACGTACTTTTTGTTTTATTCGACTCATTGCTTTACCGACCCGGCGTATGATGTGCGCTACGCTACGGCGCAGAGTATTACCGGTCCTTATACTAAGACCAATGTTCCGATGATTAATGCTGCGAATACAGGGCTTATTTCGCCTGGTGGGGGGAATGTTTGCGGGTGTGGGGATCGGATGTTGTTCCATGGGTTCTGTACTGAGGAGAAGACGAGTAGGTGTATGTATGTGGCTGATGTGACTATTGATGGGAAGACGGCGTCGATTGCTTGAGAGATTTTGTTTGCATTTTGCAGTTGGTCCGGTTTCATCTGGACTTTGGCTTTGGTTGATATATACCCCGGGTTTTGAGGGCTTGCATGTGATATGTGGTGACAGCAATGGTATACTGTTTCGCGGTTTCAAAAACTTGAATAATTTTCGCAAATATGTACAGAACAACTGTGAAAACACAACTGTGAAAACACAATGTGAAAACAATACACATACACACTACGTACGGCCTGTACACAAATGTACTAGAATTATATTATTTTTCATATATCGTATCGTCCTAGGCCTGCCTGCATGAACCCCAGCTTTATTCGTCGTCCTTTTCCTCTCCCTCGGCCTCTCCCTCAGCTTCTTACTTTTCATCTTCCTTTGCCTCGTCCTCTACCTGTACCTCATTGACACGCCTCTTATCTCGTACCTCTTGCACCCACTCTGCTGCACCCTTAATCGCTACCTCGGGTGTCTCCTTGTGGTTGAGAAGATATCCTTGGATCTCCGCAGCCGTAAGCTCACCACTCGGAACAACAGCAGCAAACTCAGACGCCAAGTCGGTGATGCGAGTTCTAAGGTCTTTTTCTTTGGCCTTTTTCACTCCCCCATTACTCTGGTCGGAGTTTTGGATAACCTCGCTCTCTGCCTTGGCGATGTTCCCAACAATAGTGGTTGGGGGCAACTTGACTAGTCCATTGGTACCATTGATGTGGGACCTTGGCGCTCCGATATGGGCAATGTCGTTATTCATAGCCCCGTAAATCGAGATAAAAAGCTCCTTGATATCTGCTTCGCTTGTGTATCCGAAGCTGATCTTCATGTCCACACGCCCGGGACGGAGGAGAGCCGGGTCCAGCTTGTTGATGTGGTTCGTAGTCATAATGAGGATACGTCCTTCACTGGCGGCAACACCATCAATCACATTCAAAAGTCCGGAGAGCGTGATTCCGCCTTTCTTTTTCGTGTCGTCTTTGGCGGCTGTGCCATCTGCTTCCACGCCAGCTTCCTTGATAACAAGATCCACGGGGTTATCTGAAGTAGATGTAGACGCAGACTTGGCGGCCCGAGTCTTTGTTATGCCTGCTGAATCGATATCTTCAAGTAGGATAATGCATCGGCGTGGTAGTTCCGAGAACAATAACGACAGACTCTCCTCTTCCAAGGCGGTGGAATTTAGATCCAACAAGTAGAGCTTCAATCCAAGCAGTCCGGCCACTGCAAAGCACAGACTCGTCTTGCCAGTCCCCGGAGGACCGTGGAGAAGGTATCCACGCCGATACGGGATTCCACGGTTGTTGTACCAGCGGCGCGTGCGAGGGTGCAGGTATTCTTTGATATCATCAAGGAAGTCGTGCTTCTGTTCTTGATCGAGAATAACGGTAGAAAGAGGACGCACTAACCGAGCCATACACCGATGCCAGCTGAAGGCTTGGCCGGCGGAAATCCGTGAGCCGCGGTAGATTACCGTGCGGTTCCTGTCGCGCTCGACATAGGCCTGCTGTGCCTCCGCTAGCAGCGACTTCAAGATCGCCGGATTCCGACCGAGACACGATATGAATATCCGCTCGTTGTTCATTACATACCACAAACCCCCGTCTCGGTGTTCGCGCTCGAGCATGAGCGGTCGGTTCTTGTACCAGAAGTAGTGGCAGCCTTCCGCGGGAGTAAATTGCATCTTCTTGTACTTGTCCCGTGTGGTGACCCTGGCCCAGTATGAATCGAAAGAATCGTTCTTCTCGCCATCCACAGTCTCACCCTCGGCTTCTTCGTCTCTGTCGAGCTCCTCTTCATCCGTTATACTCTCGCTCCAGTAACTATTGGTTTTAATGCCTGCGACGAATCGATTTGTATTTCTCATATGCGGCTGGCGTGAGATCCAGAACATCAGATAATGGAATGCCTCATCGTCGAGGCGGATTTCGGCTCTTGACACAAACAGCTCATTGAAGTTCGCCCAAATGACGAATACAAAGTATCGAGCAGTTGCGCCAAAGACAGCAAGGCTAACCAGGAGTTGCAGGTAAGAGCTGACATCAAAATTAAGGTAAGATACCAACATGCGCGATATAAAGCCATAGCCGGGGACTAGGACCTCCAACATGGCCGAGTCCGTCTTGGACAAAGGCCCCGTTGTGGGGATAGTTTGGCTGGAATTCATGATCGATAGATCTGAAACGCTCGAATTTATTTCGGTTGGCTTTGCTGGTAATAGAGTAGGAGGAAAGGCAAGATAGAACCCTGAATAGCAAAATCAAAGCATAGGCCAGTCTTTTATGGCCCGGGGAACTCATTTGAGCCTCGTGTGCTGGCCTCTCCCGCTCAAACACACATATGCCCTAGGCTGAGCCTGAGATGCACCTGACACGCCTCGATTTGCGAACATGCCCATGCAGCATTGGTCGGGGTTGATTCGATTGGACGAGACGGGATTCAGTTGGGCTGGCTGTGGGCGTCTGCCTGGACTTTGACTCATTCTTGCTGCACGTCGCTGCGGTACAATTTCCTACGTCATATCGCATAATTAGACCAAAAGAGTAACAGTTGTTTAAACGCCACGTTCGTATCGAATTAATTTTGAGAAGATAAAAGTGAAAAGCGGGAGCAAAAGAAAAAAAAGAAATCTCTCCCTCGGGGAATCGAACCCCGGTCTCCCGCGCTTATCGATTTTAATGACAAGCGGAAATCATCACCACTAGACCAAGGAAGAATGCGATGGCCGAGTTACTGCTCGGCCACTTGGCTGGTTGATGGAAATAGTACCCCACCGGGGCAACATAAGGGAGTTGGGAATAACCTCAATACCAGCATAACCCTAAAACGTACAATCTTCTACTTGATATCACTCTGTTCTCGTTAGTTACGAGTTAAAACATATTACATAATCCCAAGGGAGGGAGATGTTTGCCACATATTTGATAAAATTATCTGAACATGGCGGATTAGTAGCACGATGAATAATGGGAATTTGATTGCCTAGGTTGAAGTCTAAGCACAGTCAGTTAGTATAAATATCACAGAGTATACTACTTCCTTCACTTCATCCTCCATCTCTATCTATTCTTACTTCCTGACCCACTAATATGGCCCAATATTCGCTTAACTACTCCATCTCCATCTCCATCTATATCTTCCCTTTGTTCATAGCCGAACCCTTGTAAGCCATCTATCCCTAGGTCATCAATATAACCAGGTGGAATCGAAAGAATCCTAACGATGGAAACAGACTGCCCAGAATGCCCTTGGTCCAGGATGCTCCTCAGCCCACCCCTAATACAAAGGCTCCAAAGCGCAGCTTTCAAGAAATGTTCGACGCAAGTTGCTGCATAGTTGACCCAAATGATTATGGAATTGACTTCACCGAGAAGCTCCCTGAAACCACCACCTTCCTATCTACACCTCAGCCAACGGACAAACTAGTGGAAACCCATAAGAAACTGAAGAGACTGGCTGAGCTTATCAAAGAAGGCAAGAGCCTTGCCATCCACACTAACTACGCAAAGGCTCCCCAGAAAGAGCGCGACCCCATCGACGAGGCGAAGAAAAGAATGCGTTCAACTGAGATCGAGCAGTATAATGCCTGGGTCGCTGGTGCCGTCATGCCCACTGTCGATTGGGAAAAGAGCAACAAAATCGTTGAACTTTCCAAGGCCGAAAGGTCTCACTTCAAGCAGCAAGTTCATGCCATTCGAGAGATCTACCATAACCCGCACATCACTCGCAAGAACGCACACTGGTTCATGGCTAACTTTCGCTATGTGATGCCTCTTATTGAGGCAGTCGCGATGGTACGGCGTGTGCGGTGGGAGTATGTCTGCGACCAAGGAGGCCCCAGCCGGATGGAGCTGGCGGATCAAGAACTCACCAAGATGGAGCTGGCGGAATTGGAAACAGCTCGCAGTATCATCCGGGTTACCATTGATACCCTGCAGAAGAGACAACGCCGGTTGCAGTTGGATGCTACTCTGAGGGAGAAACATTTAAGCTTGGAAACGGTGATGGAGCTCACTGGTGCAGATTGTGAGGTTATTCAGAAACGTGTCGACAGGATCCATGAGAGCGCTGTGCGAGACAAGGGGATGGAGTGTTCCAAGGCCAAGGAATAGCCGCATGTCATCGCGTACGTCTAGGGATTGGGTCTGTTGCTCATATGTCCTCTCACTGTCTTTCCGTCCACCTGCTCTATGTCTCTGTGATTGTCTGTTGATGGAAAAACTTCAAGAATGAAATGTTTTAATGGTAGTCAGCTACTGCAGTTCCAAAAAATTAAAACGTCATCACCTCTACTCTCGTTCAATTCCTTATAGAGCTGGAGCCTAGTCCTGTTGTTATTGTACTCTCGGGATCTGATTATCTTTAGAAAGAGGATCCGACACAAACCATATACTTACAATGGCTTACAGTTTTACAATGAACGAGTAAAAATTATGGGTCTCTAATTCTCTTCGGAACTACACTGCTCAGTACTTCGATTCTCATTCTGTGTTGTCCTTTGCGAAGAGCCATCCATTCAGATGATCGAGTTTGAAGCACAAAATTGAAGCCAACAGGGAAGTGTGAATCAGAGAGTGAGGAGGGTACAGAATAAAGGAACGACCTGTGTTGGTGTAACAGATGGGATGAGGGTTGGAGGGCACGTAGGGGGAGGTTTAATGGGAGAAGGAAGCACAGGACACGATCGTCTAGTGAAGAGAGATTTCAGACAAGATAATCCAACCTTCCACACTTCTAAGCCCCTCAGTATTCCCCTTGCGATTGAATGGCATCCTCGCGGTCCTGGATGACCTCACAGGCCATGCGAATTTTGGCCGCCAGTCGGTCCACTCGCCGTTGCTCCTCGCTCACGCGCTGTTGTTCATCGGCGAGGGTGTTCATAGCAACAGTGACAATACTGCGTGTTGTATTCACTTCCACAAGGTCCATTTCGGTTTCGGTACGGTTGATTTGATCGTCCACATACTTCTGTTGCATAGCCTGCACCTTCATAACTGCATTGATGAGAGGCATCGCCCATGGAAAGTTGGCGATGAACTGAGATGTGGCGTGAGGGTTGATCTGCAGGTTGCGGCAAATTTCTCTGGCGGCATGCAGGCACTGAACAGCGCGACGACTGTCTTCTAGGCCATATGGAATCATAGGAGGCCCCTGGGCTTTGACCCACTCGATAGTGGGGACGATATCACCATGAATGTAGGCTTCGTACTGTTCGATCTCGAGGGCGGTCATGGTTTCCTTGGCATCGGTGATAGCATCACGCTGAGGCGTTGCATTCTTTGTGTGAATAGCAAGGCTTTTGCCTCTTCTAACAATGGCAGCTAGTCTTTCCACTTTGTCGCATGTTTCCACCAGTGAATCCGTTGGCTTGGGTGTAGACAGAAAACTGGCAGTGGCAGGGAGATTCTCGGTGTAGTCAATGCCGCGATTGTATCGATTTTTTGTGTCGAGCATTTCCTCGAACCTGCGCTTCCGAGCCATGGTATTCAGTATGGATCGTGAGGGTCAGACCTAACGACTCTCTGAGCAATTTGGTTTTTATCGTCAGCATTGCGAGTGATTGTTGATGAATTGAGGACCCGTGACCCTTATCGTGGCTTACTCACAGCGGCTGGGTACGAACAGGGGCTAGGTACGATGGAATAAAATCCTAGAAGATAGCTTTTAATATGGAGCGAAGATGGAGATGGAGATAAAGATGCTGTTGAGTACATACCGATCGGTGGGAGGAGTGGCGTGTGATGGAAGAAAGGAAAGAGATGAAGAATGAAGTGAAGGTTGATGACTGCCACCACGAATGTTTGCATTGGCTCTGCAAAAGCTCGTGTTATTTGTTGTAACTAAGTTCTCAATAGCCTACCGCCCAATCCCTCTGAACCCTAGACTGTGAGGAATCCTTGTCGAGCTTGGATAAAGTGAGCTTATAACTCAATAAGATACTACCACCATGACAAATGTGAGGTTTTGTGTAGCATATGGAAAATTAGACCGCTAGCTAGGAATGGAACTACTTGGGACAAATATATGTTGGTCGAGATCATTTGTATTTTTGGAGGGCGGTTTGAGTGCTTTCTTTCACCAGTCTTATTGAACGACTTCACAACATCCTTGATCTCTTCCGGGCGTTGAAGGATCATAAGCAAGGTCTCCTCGACAGGCTGAACAACGGGGTTTCATTAGTTCTCAAGACGTCACCAATCACTATAGAGAGGGTCTCACATCGGGATCAACTCCTAGTCAGAAATTGCCAAACTAGGTATGCACTTCTGAGCTGAGAAGGAACCCATTCTCGGTAGAGTAGAGGCGAGAATCTCCAATCTCGCTAATGGGTCGAGTATCGGTCATGTACCAGACCAGTTGCCACCGTATCCCCGTTCCTATAGCATGCTCACGGGGAATATATGCTTAGCCTCAAGGCCAAGGAAAGGCCTACTCAACCCGGCAATTGCATGGCAACCATCTCTTCGAGAGCATGCAACGCCTCGTGAGCGCTATGAGACAAGTAGACGATATAGCTTCCCCTCAAGAGCAACTTATAGCTGCTAGATATATAGATCGAGGTAGTCGGCGGCCGGGGGAATCTCACCGGGCAATCCTCTCAGAGCTTGTGAATCGCTCTTCGGAGTATAGTCATGTACCCGCAGTGGTCCAAGGCCCCATTCCAAATGGGCATTGCTGTAATGAACGAGATGGATTCCCGTTCGAGGGTAGAAAGGAACTGGTACTGACGCAGGCAGATGGTCTTGAGGCGGTGCCCTCATCGCGGGTAAACCAACGAAAGGCCTCTAGCGCCAAGCCTTTCGCCTGCAAAGTATCGATATTCGCCAAAGATCACGAGGTGCCAAGGCCCATTCCGAGCCACCATTCTAGCTGTAACAACCAGGAGGGGAAAACACCGGAGAAGACATGTAAAAATATATATGCGAAGACGAAGTTCTAATATCAAAAGACGAATGTAAGCTATATATAGTCCCCGACATTGATGATTGTATAAATAAGAGTCCAACCACAGTTATATCAACAATTGAGTGCACGATGCACTAAGTTAAGTCATATCAGGGCCAGATAGGAGGAAAAAGCTGGCAGAGTTGGTGCATGTAGGTAAGCTCATGCACTATGTGTCTAACGAAACAAGAAGTGATCAACTCTGAGACTTGTCATTAAGCTCTCTAAATAGCTTGATGGAGTTAACGAGAGAAAGGCCTGAAAGCCATCAATGAGACAAGGAGAGGCCTGGGAAGCTGTATGAAAGTAGGAAAAGCCGTAGTGTGTATGCCTGATTGCATTAAGAGTCTACGTAGAAGCATATAACAACAAAGCCAATCACTTTTATAGCAAACAACATTTCGCAATATCATCCGCCTACCACGGCAACGCCTGTGTGGAACAAATCATGAACCTGACTCTCCTCTAAGGACTGTTGAGATTATTTCTGCTGAGGTTGATAGGACCTACTCCCTGCCTTGTTTGATCTTCCTTCTTCTCTTTCTCTTATATATTGAGAGAATGAGTATAATTTAAACATTAAATACGTGCACATGGGTATCTATCAAAATGTACAGCTAAACGCATATAATTGAGCAATCAACTGTCAGACTCCGGGTGTTTGCCTTGAACAGCATCGGCAACGCCACCAGCCCAGTTCTTGAAATCATCGAGTTTGTGCCAGACTGTGCCCCACCACGTCGAACCCCTCTCATCGTCACTTTGGTAGTCTGTGGCGGGTGGTGCATTGGCTGCTGTAGTGGGTCTCGGTGCTGGCCGTGGTGGCTTGCGTTGTGGAGGTGATGGCTGCGGAGATGCAGGTTGCGAGGGCCCTGCTGTTGGTGAAGTTTGAGCCGGGGGATCAGGTGGTGTGTCCAAAACCGGTGCGTTCTCGTCCGAGTGAAGGCCGACTGGCTTCAGCGGGAGTCGTAGTGTGCCATTGCCTGGAAGGGGATTGACACCCAAAGAGTCACAGACAATGTTATATACCTCGATGTTTTCTATACAAATTCGTTAGGTCGAATCCCAATCGATGGTTTGGAGTAGGTACTTACGAAAAACTTCCAATCGGCTGTTTGGCTTATGAGGGAAGGCTGGGCCGCGCGCAATAAATATTGCACGCATCAATGGATGCTCGTGGTCGTACCCGTGAATGCCTCGAGGATGGTATTCCTTCCCAGTCTTCAAAGCCTCCTTGACATCGAACTCTGACCGATCAACGAGAGCCCATCCCGCCTTAGGGATGACCCACAATGGCGCAATGCGTTCGTTGTTTGAGAAGTGATACCGTTCAGGCATTGCCTCCCGTGTGTAAAATTCAAAAGCATGCTCGTAATCCGGAGCCACCTCCTCCAATTGTTTGCGGAGGGTCTCCAGATCCTCAGGATTCTTGGCGCGCAGACCACCAGATGGCCACCCGTCAATATGTTCAATCAGATCATAATCAATCAAATCGTCCAACTGAACCAGCCTTTCCGTAGAGGTAGTAGCCATGCCGTGGTCTGAGACAACCATGATGTTTACCACGTCGGTGAGATTGCGTTGCTCAAGACCAGTCATAATGCTCGCAACCATGCTATCCGCTGCTGAAATGGTCTTTCGGATCTCAGTGCTATTAGGGCCAAATTTATGCCCATCTCGATCAACGTCAGGAACGTAAGCTACGATCAACTGCGGCCGCTCAGGTGTTATCTGCGATTCGTCCTCAACACCCGGGAGATCCAAAAACTCAAGGACCCGATCCGCCTTACGCGACAAGAGTTCCGTCCCGTTATATTTGTCCAAAAAGCTCGGCTCCCTGTCACCAATGTGCGCCTCAGACCCCGGCCACATATGGATCGCGGTCTTCACGCGCTGCTTTTCTGCGGTCACCCAGAGCGGTTCCGCCATCCACCACTTGGGTTGCATGCTGACAGTGGGATGGGTATAGTAGAAGTCTTCCTTTATCTTCGGGTCCCAAAATGTGTTTCCTACAATGCCATGACTCTCGGGATATAGTCCAGTCATAAGTGTGAAGTGATTTGGGAAGGTGACGCTCGGGAAGCTCGGGTTCATATATTGCGGGGAAACGCCATTGGCGATGAGTGAGTTCAGCGCAGGAGTCAGGCCACGGTCGAGAAAGTCGGCCCGGAAACCGTCGAGCGAGATAATGATAGTGGTTGGCGCAAAGAGAGCTGTGCCATTGGAGAGCAAGCGTGGAGGGTGTGCTCGTGAAGCCCGGAACCCACTAGAGGCTTTATACGCGCCGAGGAAGAGGATGACGAAGAGTATAGCGATGAGAGTAGTTATAAACAGTGTTCTTCGCCATGAAGGCCGTGGAGGCTAAGGAGCGGATGTGTTAGCAAAAACATAGAAACCAGCCATGGTACGTCTTACAGGCTCATATCTGTATTCGCCTGTCCTGTCCAAATCTAACGATGATCCACTCAAAACGGAGGCATTCTCGTCACCAATTCCCTCTTCCATCTCATACATCAGCTCGCCGTCTTCACTGACTCTCTCCCGCCGTGACCCCCTCCGCCGTCGCCGCTCCTTTTTCGTTTTCCCGATCTTCACAGTGCTGCCATTTGGGCTGAATATCCTCCGCAAACCATGTCCAGTGCCACGCCGGATCAGAAGATTCTCTAGCTCCTCTTCATCTTCTAGCACTGCCCGGTCGTGCTCTGCAATTTCCAAGGTGCTGCGGTGCTGATCGAGGAGCGCGTCATCGTCGGAATCTGAGTCCTGCTCGGAGGGTGACCGCAACGAAGATGCATCGTTGTCGTAATTGGCAGGAGAAAGAAGGGAAGAAGTAGGGTCTGGGCGGCGCATTGCTAGCCTGGTGAAGACATGGAAAAAGAGTTGAGAGGAGAAAGGGAGATTATTGCCAAGACCCGGCAATCAGTTGCGATAAGCCCGATCTATTGGCGTTGTTTATTTTGGGTTATTTTGACAATTACATGACTATAATAAGATAGTTTTAACTAAAAGATTGAGGACGACTGAGCTCGCTACGTCAGGTTAGATTTATAATCCTTTGTTGTTCACGGGTTGTGTACCTGCTTATTACGGCTCATAATCCGATCAAGGTAGTCGAGATACCCAAGCAGCAATCGGGGAAACTTCTGGGCGATTGTGAAAGCCCATTTCAAATGTGAGATATGTCCATAGTGCTTAGAGGAGCACTACTTCGTATAGTTCCAGCAAACCAATGCTTGAGGAGATATTCCGATTCGGAAACGGAATTACTAAAATCCCCGATATCAATTCCTTGAAAGATTCCACCTCGCATACTGCAAATGATGAGACAAGAGCCAATATTACCACGAAGCTCCAACATCGCAATAAAGTTGGGTCATACGGAGTACTCTGTCCTGTACAGTCACCAGATCCCCATCTCTACGCCTCCGATGTGACTGCCTGCAGTGATCTTCGTAGAAAGTAAAGCTCGTAAGTGACTAGCATACCATGAAGCTATTCAGAGATCACCTGACTAATTTATCTGGTCTGTCAATAAGATGAAGTTATTCAATTTATCTGCTCAATTGGTCTGATTAATTGGTTTGCTCAAAGGACATTATGATGAAGCTATTCAGAGGTCGCCTAATTAATCATCTCGTCTGTCAAGATCACTAAATCGGTTCAACCACCATCAATAATAGAGATAATTTAGTCCCGAAACCGGCATCTACAAAAATGGTATAGTTTAGGTTGCAAGTTATCCTGAGAGATTACCTACTCCTATGTTACCAATAACCGGGATCAACTTTGTTGCTTGAAGCGTGAGGCTGAAGTACATAGCCCTAAAAAATCACACATTCCACTACTACTGCGGGGAATCACATTCCTCAGATTGATCGCAAATGACAAAGATCGGACATGACGGACTTGACGTGAAAGCTGCTTAGTTTACCGAAGACAGAGAAGCATGAAAATGTAAATGACCGATACTTAAGCATCTCGAAGTCAAATTCCTGATGTTAGGTGAGCTGCGTTGATGTAGACTCACTAGATGCCGGGCAGCCGGATGCAGTTGTTAGGAGACTGGCTGGGCGATCAGCTCTGCGCAGGTCACAGCCTTGCTAACTTTGATGTTCTGAGAATTGCCAAAGTCCTATAATGCCATGATAGAAGTAACACAGCAGTTAATTCCAAATACGGTTATGACCAGTTCTAGAGGCTATGTGTGCTCTACCAGACATAAAGTGCGATTCGCCTGCCTTACAGCTAGAGAAGTAGTGATCCTTGCAATATCACTAAGCAGAGAGTCATGGGTAGACGACCGCTACTTTATGGGCTCATCTTCCTAGGGAGATAAGATGCTCTCCACCCCATTGTCTTCCAAGACTCCACTTCTTCAGACAATGTCTTCAGTGTATGGTCCTGAAAACAGGTGACCCATAAATAGAATCCACCTCTCTCTTATTGTCTCATCTCTGAAGTGGATCACTGTGGAATTCCACGTTGGAGTGTTCGACGTGTGATGTCCGCTTGCGAGCGGCTCCCCAATTGGGACACCATATCACGTGACCCGCCTAAGCCAGCGGGATCCCCACATTTCGGACGAACAGCAACGCCGGAAGATCATGACGGAGTTGGCGTCGGCCTCGTCCGATTGTATCAGATCAAAGTGGAGTGAGTCTATATGAGTCTATCTAGAACAGTGCGATTATCCCCGGATGCGGAATTCGCTTTGATCTCGTTTCCGATGCCAAGACGAGAGGAACATAACCTTGGAATTTTTTTCCTCCAATTACTGATGCCATTTAGATGCCGGATTGGGAACCGTCGCCAGATCTATAAGAATGCCGTCCTCTCCACGGATTCTGCTATGTCCATCTCAATCGCATCTCACCTTAAGTAAGTACTCGAGCACCATGATCTCAAGAATATGTACTAACGCCCGTCCTAGCTATATCGCTTGTTAAACAACCAGCCTTGTCTCATTTCTTGATCCAATTGTGTTTGTTTTCCAATAAAAATGCACTTCACAGCCCCCTCCGTCGCCTTGCTGGCTCTCACAGCCGGTGTTCAAGCCGGCTCCAAACAGCTGCAGGAACCCCCCGTCCACGTGAAGGGTATCATCGGCAAGCAACGTGTTGAGCCTGGTACTGATGTTGCTCCTACCGGTGCTCAGACTGGTACTCATCCCATTGGGACCGGTATTGTCGGCACCGGTACCAGCACTGGTAGCCACCCCATCGTGACTGGCACCCCAGGCAGTCCCGGCGGCGGTGTTGGTGATAACAGCACTATCATTGTCACTGGTACATCCCCCTGCTACACCTGCCACGGTAGCGCGACCATCCCAGTCTATGTTCCTACCAGAACTCAGGGCACCTCCCCATCCGGTGGTGCTGGTTCTGGCACTGGCTCAGGCTCTGGCACTGGCTCAGGCTCTGGTTCTGGATCTGGACCTGGCTCTGGTTCTAGCTCTGGCTCCGGCTCTGCCCCTGGCTCCGGCTCTGGCTCTGCCCCTGGCTCCGGCTCTGGCTCTGGCTCTGGCTCTGGCTCTGGCTCTGGCTCTGGCTCTGGCTCTGGCTCTGGCTCTGGCTCTGGCTCTGGCTCTGGCTCTGGCTCTGGCTCTGGCTCTGGCTCTGGCTCTGGTTCTGGATCTGGACCTGGCTCCGGTTCTAGCTCTGCCCCTGGCTCCGGCTCTACTCCCGGCTCTGGCTCTGGCTCCGGCTCCGGCTCTGGTATCGAAGGCTCTGGCTCTGTCGGTTCTGGTGCTATCGGTGGCTCTGGCTCGACCTCTGGTCCAGGTGGGGTTGGCGTCAACGGCTCTGGCTCCACCTCTGGCGCCGGCAAAGGTGCCAGTCCCTCCAGCCCTGTCTCTACCTCTGGCTCCGACAGCACGAACGATTACAGCCTCTCCAGCCCTGGCTCCAAGGTTACCGCTCCCCAGATCGGAGTCATTAGCGCTGTTATTGGCAGCATTGTCTACGGTACCATTATGCTGCTTGCATAAACGTCTTAATGTTCAAATGGCTGTCTCTTAATGTTGGTGATTGGTTATTCTAATTACTGGGTGTATTTTTGTCTTTTTCGATATTTGTCTGGGAACTGCCTTCTGGTTAGAGATACGATTAGATTAGAAGGTGGGAGGAGTACTGGGGTTTCCAGGGAGGCGTTCGAGGATATGATGTTTGGTTTTTGGTTTTTTTGTGTTTAGCAATGAGTTATTTGGTAATATACCAGTACCTAATATGATTCTAATTCTAATTCAAAATGAATGTTTATAACTTCTCAAACTTGTCTGTCTACGTGAACGTATCAAGATGAACTCGGATATATTCAATCAACACAAACACAATGTAGTTCACCACCAGAGCAAAAAAAACCAAGGCTCCTGTCTAAGGCCTAGGGCCATGTCCCAGCCTGACACCAAAAGCCAAGCCTACAGTTCAAAGTATAATCCCAAGTGGCAAAAGAACAGCCCCGGTCATACATCTCGTACATCTGATAAAAGCCCAGAACGCAGTCTAGTCATCCCTGCAGGGCCGAATGGCACGATTCTTGGCCGTATGGCTTTGTTTTAGGGTTTACGTTTACTTTAAAGGTTCGCGTGTAAATATCCACAGATGGACGGAGATTGGCTTGATCAAGGTTTCAGATTAGCTTTTATGTAACTGCTTTGTGTGTGTGTGATCCATGGTTGGAACAACCCTGTACCCTGGAAGGCCATTTTTGATATTACGAGATAACAATACATTGTGCGGTGGTTGTACCGTAGATTTGCCGGATCAAAGGGATTATAAATTTAGACCATGATTCATGATTTTGAATTTTAAACTGGCCAGACACGTATATATAAAAACTTTTACAACGAGTCTCATCTTTCGCAAGAAAATGAACAGAAAGGCCACCCAGACACCAGAAGAATAAGTGCAACGTACACCAACAAGAATAAAGTAAAGTAAGGCCTCCAAATCGAACAGTGGCCGTCTCGTCTCTACACACTCGAAATCCAATTCACCCACTGACACCCACACCCCCCATCACCACCATCAACACCGCCGTACTCCTCAGCCGTAGCATTCTTCGTCTCATCAAGACCCTTAAATAGACCCGCGGCCGGATTAACAAGGTTGCCGCCGATAGAGCGGTCCTCGAGCTGCAGCTGCACAGCCGTGATATTGTAATGCCCGTCGTCTTCGAGCGGGTAACAGTATACCATTTTCTTTTTCTCGGCTCCGCCGTGTCGGTCCACTGTTATAGTTACCGGATATGGGAATGAGCCTGGTTGGGAGAAGTCTGTTGCGGAGGAAGAAGATGTAGGGCTATTTGTGGATGTTGATGACGGTGTCGCGGAGGTGGCGGTGCTTGTGCTAGTTGCTGTCTTGTTGGATTGTGGGAGGAGGTGGCGGCCGATTTTATCGGGTTGCGTCCAGATTTGGACGAGGAACCGCGTTTGGGACCATGTGCATCGGTAGTGTGCGTCGGCTTTTGTGCTACCGCCGTTTGTGTCTGCGGCTGAGGATTTCGTTTGAGAGGTTAGGAATATGGATTTGTCGAAGTAGCTGTAAAAGCCGTAGTGCTCGGTTGCGAGACCGCGGTTGTAGAGGCGGATTGGCTGGGATGAAGGGAGTGGGTACAGCATTGCTGCGGATGGGGTTCCGTCTGCGTTTTCTTCCGGTGCCGGGATTATCGATGAGATGTTCGGATATGCGGTGCCGTTGGAGGTATCTGAGCGACGGAAGATGCTTGCCGAGGAGAGGGAGACTGGTGAGAGGAGGGACATGTAGAATGGGGTTTCTTCGCCGGCGTAGGGTGCGGCATTTTTATCTGTGTATTGGCCGAGGAAGCTCTGCTCTGCATCGCTTGGGGCTGCCGGGGATGAGTTGAACAGGTCGTCACTCCTAACACGTATATTCGAGCTAACCGTGGTACTGTTATCGTATGTGCCATTGCGGAAGCGGATGGAAACACGGAAATTGGGCTGGTTCGCATTGTACGGCTCATTGGCATTCTGCTGGCCCTTGGGCAAAGCACAACTCCACATCGAAGAGGGGGTGATACAAGTCGATCTTTCAAGCTGTGGCTGCGTTCCAGCAAGTGTTGCAATTCCAGTCGGCATAGGTGGATAGCCTGTGAGGTTCAGCCACTGCGATTGAACGGGAGTGTCGGCTCCTTTCCTTGTCAGGGTGATCGATAGAACAGTGGCTAAGATCACGATGATGAAGAAGAAAACGCAGATCAGGAAATACCATCTCCGTCGAGTACGACCCTCGCGCCCTGGACGTCCAGTTTTCTTGCTGAATGGACCCCGGCCACGCCAGAGACCGCAAACCCTTCGGCCAGTGGCTTCTTCCTTTTCCAGTCTGCGGCGTCGAGTTTCATGGGGTCCTATGGTGCCGCTTGGATTGACACTCGTAACTCCAGCTGCAGGATCTTGACTGTAACGGGGTTGCGCATCATAACGATGGGGTAGAGCAGCTTCTCGAGGATATTGCGTGTATGCAGGAGCCGGTGCCTCCATATCCGACATTGGCATCGAGCCAGGTCCACCAGCGGCGCGCTGGAAACCGGGAGAGATAGGCTCAGAAGCGTGTGAGGGTCTTTGAGGGGCGAGTTCAGATCCTTCAGATAATCCTCGTTCTGCTTGCGGCTCTTCAGACTCAAGCTGGCGATCCTGAGCTGTGGAAGTCTGGGGTTGAACAATAGGCTGGGTTTGTAGCACAGGCGGCACAGGCGGTGCATTCGAGTGAGGATGTGCACTTGCACTAAACGGCCACCCAGACCCAGATTGCCGTCCTTGGATAACAAGTGGCCCTCGAGGCTGGCTTGCATAACCATAAGTTGCCTGTCGTGTCTGGGGAGGAGCTTGTCCATTTGACACCTGAGATCCCCGAGAAGATCCTTGTGTAACAGAAGGTTCTCGTGGCTGTCCTTGTCCATATGCCCATTCAAAATCAGAAGCTTGTCCATTGGTAGCCGGCTGTTGAACCTGGGGTTGCTCTTGTGGTCCTCGTTGTCCCCATGGCCATTCTGACCTCGGCGTTGCTACTTGAGGGGGTGGCTGGACCATCGGGTCTGAGATTCCTCGCGACATTTCCTGCGGTTGCGGCTGTTGCAATATCGGCTCCATTGGCGGTGCAGCCTGAGTGAAGATGGGTACATATTGCACTGCTGGCTGTACAGGCTGTATCTTAGGCTGCGGCGGAGGCGAAGTATAATGAATATTAGTAACCGGGGGAGAGATGTTAGTGATTATCTGCGGAGCAGGAGCAGGAGTTGGCTCCGGCATAGGAAGAGGAGCGGGAGCGGGAGCGGGAGCGGGAGTTGGCTCAGGAACAGGAGCCGGCGCAGGCGCAGGCGCAGGGGCAGGCGCCGTCACAGGAGCTGGCTCGGGCATAGGAATAGGAATCGGAGCTGGAGCCGGTTCGGGAGCTGGCTCAGGTGCAGGTGCAGGAGCTGGCGCCGACGGCTCCACGACCTCTCTATCAGTCACCTGCACAGGCGCCGCAACAGGATCCGCAACAGGCACAGGAACAGGAACAGGATGCGAAGCACCACACTGACACCGAGACCCAGAAACACCATCCCTAGCACTATTTGCCGCCACAGACCCCTTCTCATCCCCATCCTCATCAACAACGGACGAATCCCACGAATTCGAACTAAACTCCGACGCCGGCGACAACACCTGCACCTCCTTCGCGCGAACCGCATATCCAGCCGGAATTGTCGACGTCTGCGAACGAGGCGAGTCGATATCAATAAGCAGGCCTGCGTTCTTCGACGTTGTCGACGGAACTGGAGTCTGGTTTCCGCGCGTCCCTTCAAGATCAGCTCCGGTTTCCTCATCTGCAATCGCAAGTCCTCGACTACCATCCTCAGTCCCGTTTGTAGCACCCGCTGGCATCGAAACTGGGTTCGCGGGCGTTATCGAGCACACGTGGTTGACGCACGCGAAGTATGGCGTCTTGCTGAATAGCTCGTGTGCGCAGGCTTGGTAGTACTCGGCTGCTTCGCCTTGGATTGTTTGGTTGTTGCTGAACATGAAGGACATGGTGTTGTGTCTGGTTGAGACGTTTGAGACGTATGCGGGTGGTGGGGATTGATGGCGTTCGGGGGCTTGAGCTTGAGTTTGGTATTGCTCTGGTTCGAAGGATCGGGATATCTCGAATGCCTTTTCCCCGGTCGGTGCAGCGGTTTCTGGTGTATCTGGTGAGAAGCAGGAGATTTCTTTCTCGCGCCGGATCCATTCTTTCGGGCCTGGGCGGGTTGTGGTTGTCGTTGTTGATGGGGTGGAGGGTGACTCTTGTGGGAAGGATGGACTGAGTGGGGATTTTATGGACCGGCCTAGCAGTGGCGAGAGGAGGTATGTCCACCAGCCTTGTGAATAGGGTCTGTTTTCGTCTGCTTGGGTGTTGACGCTGAGACGGCCTTGTTGGTGCTTTGGGCTCGGGCGTACTGTTTCTGGTGTCCGGGGTGGACTGTCGTCTTCCCAGATTGAGGCTGCTGAGAGGGCGCGCGCGTTCCGTTCTACGCCTAGTGTGTTGTGGTATCCGGTCTCTGGGGCGGGAGTCTTGGTAGCAGCTGAGTGCTGGGCGGGGATGGCTGGCACGGGTGGCACGTCTGGTTCATATTGCCAGAGGCGGGGTGTGGGCTGCGAGTAGATGCTGGATGTTGCTCTTGGTCGGAGCATCTCGGTGCTCAAGTTTGAGTGTGCGTTCCATGGTGCCTCGCCTCTTGCTGGCGTGACGATAATCGAGGGTGTGAGCGGCGTGCCTGCACCGTCGTGCTCTTGTGATCTTTCCACCGACTCGCTGCGAGGCACAGTGAGTCCGATCATGACATGGCGGTCTGAGGGTGAGATTACATGCTGCTGTCTATCGTGGAACGGATCTTCATCTTTGGCAGCAAGGAACGTTCCAGTTTCATTATGGCTGTTCTGACTCTGCACCGTCTCAGATAACCGCTGAAAGCCCCGTGAAGTCCTCTTCTTAAAGATCTCCCTTGACT